AGGGTGTAAAATTTTTTTTGGAAAATATGTGTTACATTTTTTTATTTTTTACTGTTGATTTTCAAATAGTAAAATCTTTGGAGAACTAGTAACGAAAATTGGTTTTAGTTATTAGACTGAAAAAGGTACAATAACTGTCCATAAACTGCTGTTAATGTACGACTGACTAGGTATATGTTGTAGTTAGTGTAACAGGTTGCAGACAAATGTGATTAATATTGGCCTACTCTTGTTGTTTATTGCTATCACGACCTGACGATGGTATCAATTTCAATACAGCTATTCATGCAATTCTTTATATTAGTTCTACATAAGTTTGCATAGTGTTCTTCAGTAAAATTTACCACATTGTTCTTGTAACTATACCGGTTTGCTTAATCTACTAGGCTACCTTTTGTATTTACAAAAAAAATTCACATATTCTAAAATTTTGCTTACTACTGTAAGTTTTATTGACAATATCAAAATAACTCAAGTTATGCTTATTACTGTAAGTTTTATTGAGAATATCAAAATAACTCAAGTTAAACTAAAAAATGCATAGTAATCTGTTAGAAATCATAAAGTAATAATCCCTGGCAGTCTATTTATAGTCAATGAAAACAACAAATATAAGAAGTGCAATATAAAAAATTCAGTCTGGGAATATTTGAATTTTTGATAGTTCCTGCGGCGGCCGCTAGGTAGACTATCATGAGTGAGCGGCCAAGTCAGCTGATTGAGTGAGAAAAAGTGAGACAAACAATCGGCTTAGAGAGAGAGAGATAAAGTAGCGCGGTGGCCGCATGAAGCTCTTTTGGTGGCAAAATTCCAGTCTGACTATTCCCCATAAGCATTTTGCTTCTTGAAGGGTTTGCATTCTTATAGCTCCAGGTTCATGCGATTATTTGCTTTGCTCTGTACTTAAGTTGAAAACTATCAACTGTGATGTAGCAAGGAGTACCATTTATAAAAACTAATAGACTATTAGCCTATCTGGGTTTAAAAAAACCAAAAATTTATTTATAAAATGTGATTTGTTTTATTTATAAAATTTAGAATTTATTTATAAAATGTGGAATAGCAAGAGTGACTTTAGGTGGATTACAGAGATTAAGGAGGACATGAGAAGGTTGAAAATATCATTAGAAGATAAATTATGGAAAATAAGTCAGAGGCGCTTGCAGTACTCAAAGACAAAAATATCATCCTGCCAATAGGAGCAAACAATCAGAGACAAGGAAGAGTGGTTTCGGAAGAAGAAAGAAAACAACGTTCGGAAAGAATGAAGAAGTATTGGGCGGACAAGAAGAAGAGACAGACTTTAAAAAGAATCTAACCATTATATTGACTTAAGTGGTCCAATGCTGGCCATAAAATAATAATAACGAGAGGTCGTCCAGTGGTCGAAACTCGACCAAAAATACGTAATGTACTCACTTATCTATTTTCACCCCACACTGTAAATAAAACATGTGATTTGAGTTTCTTCCATTTGTTTTGGTTTTCTGTTTATATTTCGTTGTTATTTTCGTTACCAGCATGGCAACGCATAAGATCCATGTTAATATTTTCAAATTTTTAAACTCATTTTTTGTGCTTATCTTTGAGCCTATTTAAATTTATAAAGGGATTCTGCACACCTACAGGAAAATAGTTTTCTAACGGTATGCGTAGATTTTCCCTACGATGAACACGAGCTGAGAAAAAAGGTTTTAAAGAAACATGCTTGCCTATTAATATATAGATAGATAATAAAATGTGATTTAACTTGGTCAACAGTAATAATAATAAATCTATATTAATTAGTTATAGTAAGACTCTATAGTCTCTATTATCTGATATTTCGAAAGTAAAAGTTAATTTTAAGCACTGAAACTCTACAAAGGCTGTGACTCTTCTCACTCATTCTCTACCTCGTTAAACAATTGTGTTGTTGAAATCTTATAGTGTTTATCAAGGCCAGTGGCAAGTTTTTGTAAGGGAATGGTCCAAGACCCAGGGTTACTATACTAGTACCAATGCTTGTACTTTAGGCAGGTTTTACATCTAGCTGATTGACATTGACTAGCATTCCCCTCCGCCCGGCGACACACCAGTTCACACGACTAAGAGTCTACCGACTATTCCTAGGCGTGACGTAAAAGAATGAGCAACAAGCGACCGATATTTTTTTGATTGCATTGATGTTTTGGACAGTTATCGACGTTTTTCGTAACTAAATTTAAATTTGTTTTAGAATAATGAAATCAAAGTAATAAACTACGTACCAATTAAACTATTGTAATAGTTTTGTTTTAAAAAAAAAACCCCTTTTTGTTAAGTGGATATACCTACACTGTGTTACTACCTTCGAGGAATGCCAACGCTTTAGGAACCACCAAACGCCTACTAGCTTCATACATAGCCTGTTGACAGTCATAATAAGCTTTCCATAATCTTTTCACTTTGTCCAATTTCCTTTTATCAAGTCCAGGATAAAGAAAGTCAGTCTTTGCAGTGAATTTCATAGAAGCTCCTTGTTTCCCTTGATTGAAAACTTGAATATTGTCCTTCAAGTGTTTTGATTGTTCCCGCAATGACTTCAAATTTCCCAATCCTTTTGTACAATGAAATAACTGCACAAATAGGAGAGTTAAGATAAGAGTTATGTTTTTCATTTTATTTATTCTAATATTGTTTTTGAAGAAGTTTTTGTTGTTGTTTGAGTCATAAACAGCTGAATATATTTGATATATATTTAGTGATTAGTGTGTTTTTGAAACATTTTTTAGTGTTTTGATAAAATTCCAGGTTTAATTTACCAGCTAGGAAATATTTAGTGAGAAATAAACCAATTACAGGGTACACTTCCATATCTGTTGGCACAAACAACCGAATGAGTAATTTTGATTATTCGATTGTTTAATTCAATATATCGTTTGGTTAGTTAGGTCAGGTTAGGTTAACCTTACCTATTAATTATAATTATCGATCAATATTTTCATTCGGTTGTTTGTGCCAACAGATATGGAAGTGTACCCCAATTACAATATCTAGGTTAAATAGATAACAAAACAAACATATTATCGCTTAAGTTTGCAATCCATGAAATCAGAAAGTGTCATTCATTATTCAAAGAGTCATTATTCCTAGACAAAGAAATATTATATATTAACCTAAAACATGCCATGTTGTGTATTCAGTGTTGTGTAAAGGTAAAATTAATCAAATACCCCTTTTAAGACACTCAAATAAAAGTTTGCTTCCTCAACCACTATCGTTAGAATAAATCAAATCAATAGTTTTGTCTTTTAAAAATAAATTTTCTTGAGGTTATGATGACATCCCCATGCCTATAGTTAAAACAGCAATTGACTATCTAAAATATCCCTTATGTCATCTTGTAAACTCTTCTTTTATTACAGGTATTTTTCCTGACAAATTAAAAATTTCTAAGATTAAACCAGTTTTTAAAAAGGGAGACCCCGCTATACCTTCAAACTATAGACCTATATCTTTATTCTTTACTACCATCGTTTTCTAAGATTTATGAAAAAGCTATGTGTATAAAATTAACAGAATTTCTGGAAAGCAACAACTTGATAGATAAAGAACAACATGGGTTTCAATCCGGCAAGTCTGTGATTAGTGCTAATGTTCAGTTCATTGAATCAGTAATAGATTTGGTGGATAAGAGAAATAATGTTACTGGGGTCTTTATGGACCTCAGCAAGGCGTTTGATAGTGTATCACACTCCAAGCTGGTAAATATCTTGTTTTGTCTGGTTATCAAGGGGAGAGCTTTAGATTGGTTTAAATCATATTTAAATAACATACAACAATATGTAGAAATAACTAATGTCACAAACAATAATAAGGCAAATTTTACAGTACTTCATCTTTGGAAATTTTAAAATTTGGAGTGCCACAAGGATCAATCCTGGGACCACTGTTGTTAATATGTTATACAAAGGGTTTGCCAGATAAATTAGATAATGCTGGTGTCTGTCTATATGCTGATGGCATTAGCTTACTTGTTTCTGGTAATACCCATCAAAAAGTAGAGTCAAAAGCAAATAATCAATTTCCATATGTAAATACTTTTTTAAACAATTTAATTCTTTTAGTTAATATGAATAAGACAATGTGCATATCTTTCTCAACATATCAGAGTAATAAACAAGTTCAACATAGATTTTTGATGGAAGGGAAATGTCTAGGAGAACTGCAAAAGTTTAAATTCCTAGGACTTGTATTGGACAAAAAATTTAAATTGGAACCTTCATATTGAACATCTTGGCCGTAAAATTTCATCAGGGATTTTTGCTCTGAGAAAAATGTCTAAATTATGTCCTTTGGAAACATTAAAAACAATTTACTTTGCTTTTATTCACTTCCACATCTCATTTGGCATAATTTTATATGGGACAAACTCTCAAGAAAATTTGGAACAAATAAACGGTTCATAGAAGCACTTTGCATCATGTTAAACATTCAAGATTGGACAACTTCAGTTAAAGAACAATTTTCAAAACTTGGTATTCTTACTGTTTTTGCCCCAATATATGTTTGATTTTATCTTGTTTGTAAAGAATGATTTACCAACATTTGAGACCTTGGGTTCATGCCACAGCTAAGGGATAAGTCACAGACATAAAATCAGTTTTTTTAATCACAACTTAAAATTCTTTGAATAAACCTTCATATGCTGGGATTAAGTTTTATATCCTTCTACCTGTTAATATTGTACTAATTACAGACAAAAATAAATTTAAAAACAACTAAAAACTTTTATGTTATCCAAGCCCGTCTATTCCCTAGATGGATTTGTTGGTTGACTGTGTTGTAAGTTATAACTTTTGTATTTTTATTTAGCCTTTTTATATAGTTAGTTTTAACAATATAATTTAATTGTATAACGCCATCCTGGTGCAACATGTTGTACTCTTGAATAATGATTATATGATTATGACGACTATGATTATGCGATGTACTCCTGAGGATGTAGACATAAAAAATAACTTGTATTTTTGTTACAGGAAAACAACAACACTACACCGTATTCTAATCCAGAACTAGACATGATAAGTAAGGACATTGAACAATTAGTACGAGAAAAACAAATATTGGAAGGTGAAATAATTCAGAAGGAAGCGGACATCAAAATTAAAAATGGCGAGGTCAAAAGTTTACAGGTAAATTTTTTACAAGTTACACTGTTTACAAAATAAATAGAGAAATCTACTGGGCCCTTTGCTTTGTCCATATTATTTTATATCTCATGATGTTTTATACAACTAAAATCAGCTGATTTTGGTAATCTGAATTATTTTAAGATATACTTTTGTTCTGTATTTGTTAAGTTTAGAATATTTGAGAGCTGGTTTTGATGATTACTTCAGTGGAACCTCGATAACAACCCCTCAAAACAAGTCACACCTGATAAAAAGTGTCATTTTCTAATCCCCCTGAATTTATTTTGCATCTAATCCAGGAACATCAAGGAATGTGACAGCTGATTGTGAACAAGTTATAGGTTAGAACACACATAACCATGTGAATCCTATAAATTAAAATAAAATGGTATTGTATTGTTATACATAAAACCTTAACTATTACTGATTTGAAAAAGTGTTTTTATCAGAATTTATTTTCCAATCTGTTCATAAAAATATGAGAACAATAAGTAAAAAATGGCAGGAAGCAAGGACCTGTTCATCAACAAGTCTTGTCAAAAATTGTATCAATCATTTAAAGATTTAAAGAAATCTGTAGCTCAGGTCCAACACATGAACAACACTTTTTAGTCTGTTAATACATCGACTTATTGTCCAACAGATTAACAGCAAGACTGTTTGGATGAAAAAGTGAATCTTTAGTCAAAGCAACATTAAATTAAAACTAACAGCTGTGTTTCTATAATAATATTATTTAAAATAAAAATAAACATTTTTCCAATTGTTTACAGAGTTACAGAGTTATATAATCTTTTATGTTAATATTTTAGGGAGAACTAGACACACTGGCAGCTACATTAAAACAGTTAGAAACACAAAAAGGGGAAGCTCAAAAGAGGTTAAACGATCTAAAAAATCAGGTATGTGTCGATGGATTTTTGTTTTTAGAAAACCATGAATATTATGTAGGCCTAATGTTCTAAAACTAATTTTAAAAATAAAATTTGTAACTGACAGTTGTATTGGATTATCCCTCCGAAACTTATCTTCTTTGTAGCCATGTTGTAGGCTACCATGTGTCTAGATTGTTAACCCTATTTGGGGCGGTTTTCTCATTTTTTATAATATAAAATACAAATGTTAAATTCACAATAATTTACATTTAAGTTTTATTTGAATTGGTTGGAAATTATCGGTTTTCTATTTTTGAGTGTAATTGTATTTCATAATCTGTTTTCTGGTTTGTATGACTATCTCTATTTTTTTACCTTTCCCCCTGTTAGATTATTCAATACCTCTATTGCCTTCAGTGTACATGTTTTGGATGTAGGCTTGTGACCTGACGGGATATTTTTATATGTAATCCCAACCATTTTTGGCCATTCTAAAGTTATTTTGGTATTAAATTCTTTTAATTAAAATGGCGACCAGGCGGAGGTACGTATTTTAAGCCAAGTATAAATGAAGATGAGTGGCGCAATCTTGTAGTCTTGTTACTGATTGAGGCTGACATGTTCCTTAGACAGTACCTACTGTTAATTAATAGCACATACAGCCAATGTCAACTAAGGAACATAAAGTTTTTATACTGGAATCAAAACCACACTTTTGCCTTTTAATTTACGAAGTGGTCTAATTATCAGGTTAGTACTGCGGATAGTCGTAGTACTCACTAGTGCGGACGTTAAATGTCTCGTGTGATTGATGTTTTTGTTGAATTGAAAACTTAATCGAGACAAACACTATGGTGTAGGCCTACTGCTCATGCATTGAACATCTAATTGAAAACCATAGTTTGCAACAATAATAGCACATTAGTTTTCTCACTATAAATATGAGGTAAGAGTTGGAGGGATAAAACCAATATTTCAAGTTTTTTCATATTATAAAGCTTATTAATATTTTGTTGCAATCAGGTAAGATTGACTGTAGCATGGATCGTAATGTTACGAGAGAATGAATGCATGAACTTGAGTTCTGCATTTCACCTCTGAACATGGTTCAAGATAAGTGGTTATTGTTCAATATAGGTTGTTTATTGAACTTGTGATGTCCAAAGATGTTGTTGGCTAGCTGTATGTGCATTTGTCAAATTTTAGCTAGTACATGAGCTTTAAGTTGGGTTTTCCTGTTTCTGCATCTTTTGCTGCATACTGCAACGCAAACCCATCAATGCAGTACCCATAATGCACAATTTTTAACCATGCAGTACTGTGAATTACATTAAAGCTTTTACCTTTTGTTAGAAAAAAGTGAGCGAAGATTAATAATCCTCACCCCCAAGGCGAGAAACACAAAGCAACTTATTTCGTATAAACTTTTAAAGAGGATGATTGAGTCTTGGAGGATTTAAATCTACATTTTCTAGATGATGAAATAACGTTTATATCGTCATCTACAGTTTTAAAATAATTTAAGTCTATAAGCCTGTTCTTTATCTCGTTAACAATAATAATAATAATAATAATAATAATAAAAGTATCATTGACAAAGTCATAAGATGCAGTGCAACTGCCAGGTCATACAATATTTATTCAAGTTTGTGTTTCTTGATGTGTTTTTGACTGCTCTGAGAAAAATGATTTTGGGGAGAGCAGATTTGAAAAAAGGTTTATGTTACAGTGTTAAGTACGGGTACAAATGCAAAACTAGGAAAACCCAGCTTAACTTGAGCCCTACTCTAGATTAGTATGATTGGGCTTTTTGTATTAAAATCTCATTTTTATACTGGTTTGATTTTATGTAGATTTAATTTCAGAAGTTGTATGTGTCGTATAGATTTTTTGGAAGTTTTCTTTATTTATTTTTATTTTGTTCCCAAATACCTAGGGCATATATTTTTTTAATTAAACATTTTTTTGTTTTATTTTCATGATTTTATGTTTGCACAACTAAAGCGTTGGAATTAATTAACTTGTGAATATGTGAATGTAAATAACCCTGTTGAAACTCAAGTTTCTAATACACACCATTTGATTGTTGTAATTTAATATGTAACAGTTTACAGCTTTATAACTTGTGTAAGGAAATGGAGCTTTTTGTCTAGTTATTTAATTTTGTTTTGTTTGTGTTTTTTTTTTTTACTCCGGGTACAAGCAAAAGAAATTTGTATTTATAAAAATGCAGTATGTTTAGTGTTTATACAAGTCAAGTGGTTAGCGTAGGAGTTCCTCCTGGAGATGCGAGTTCATACCCCGTCTCCTATGTGATAATGCCTTCAGTTAGTGGTTTGAAGCACCTTTTGAGCTGTTGGCTCTCCTATCTCTAAAAACAATAATAGATTTCTCAGATGAAGAGAATTTTCTCTGTAACTCTTGTCACTTAAATCTTTACAGATATTATGGTTAATCAGATTACAAATGCATATTCCAGTCACGTGAAAATCAAATGATATGAGTTACAGTAAATTACAACTTTTGTTCCCCCCAAGTCCTCAAAAAAAGATAACTATTACCACTACTACTTACAACTGTAGCCACTGGTATCCCAAATTGTATTTTGCCTCGTCTACTCAAAACTGTATCCATCCTGGGCAAATCCTTCCATCTGAATTTTGATCTGCATGGAGGCCTTCTGGCTTCTGAGTTTTTGCTCAAGATATTACTGATAGCGGCATCAAGTCAACATCTCGTCTAAATTTGGTTTGATCTGATTGCATTATTAACTATAGCATAGTGACAAAAAAATGGCATCTAGGTCTCGAATCGATCTCACTTGGAATTGAACAAGCAACCTTCAGATTTTAAGACAAGAACTCTAACCACTCAGCTACCCAGTCAATCAAAAAGTAATTATAAATTTGTATCAAACTATCAGATTCAGTTTAATTGCATTTCAATGTAAACTTGCTTGTACTCGGACGTAGCATGTGCTTAGTTGCTTGTTCACCCGTGTGCATGTTTAGACAGTCTTGGTTGAGTCGGAACTAAGTGATGTTCGGATGGAGTTGGACGCAGAACAAGCTCAGGTGAGTGAAGTGCTACAGATTCAGATTAGAACCTATCTACACCTATGTTAATAAAATGATCGTGTTGCATATGCCCAGAGACGAAGTGGGCTGTATTTGTTGCCAATATTGAATTTGGATTGGTTTTAAAAAGGGCTTTTGTTAATTAATTTTGTTACAGTTAAGTCATTTACCACAAAGAAGTTCTAGGAATTTTGAAGGAAGATCTTGTAGAATATTGAATGGCCCACATTGTTCTGATGAAAAGATAGTTTCCTCAAAATAAAAGTTTTCAAGATAAAAGTTGCACACTAATGATTAAATACACACAATAAATAATCAATTGAAAGGACTTGTACAATAAGAAAGAATATAACAAGACAAAATAAGAGAACAGAGAAAAAAAATAATCATGTTAAGAATGACAATAATAAGAAAGCAATGTTTGCGGAATTAGCTTGAATTTAATTGCTGCCCATATGAATACTAAACATGTTATTTCTAAAATTTCTATTTAAACAATACAGTCTGCAACACTAATGCTCATTATTGAATCTTAACCTTTATGGACAAATTGCTTCCTACAATTATATAGATTAATTGTATAGCCATTCAGGTAAATGCCGTTAAAAATAAAAATCTGAATCCTTGTCTGACGTGTTTAAGGTAATCATAGCATCTTTTGCTACGGTACTGAAATAACCTGTTTTCGTTATATGTTTACCACCTGCTAAAATTAGTCATTACATTAAGTCCAGTAAAATAAGACATTGTGGTATGCAAGAGGTGGGGTAGGCCTAGTTTAGTTTTTGGATGTATGGTTGTTGGTGTTGGGCTCATAATATAAAATCCAAGTTTTCCACATACAGATACCAAAGCGAATCACGAGACATGCCACTTGTTAACGAAATATAAAAAATTCAACCATTCCTATGTTTTTTCACTCTATCTCGCGAATGGTTGGTTTTACTTAAAACATTACTTTATTGAATCAAAAGAGGATAAATTTGTGACAGTTTAAGCCCAACACTAAGTATATAGCGTAAATAATAGCTAAAATACAGATCTTAAAAATAAAATTTCTAAAATCAGTTTAGTCCAGGCAAGCTAAAATAAACGGTATCAGCAATCTGACACATACTTTCTCCCATAGACTGTTTGTTGGGCTTAAACTGTCACAAATTTATCCTCCTTTAATCTAATAAGTAATATTTTCAGTAAAACCAACCTTTCTACCAAACCAACCCTTCGCGAGATAGAGTGAAAAACCATTGGAATGGTCAAATTTTTGTTAGTTCGTTAACAAGTGGCACGCCCCGTGGCGCACCATGGTACCTCGAGGTGGAAAATTTGGATATTATGTTATTCCCAATAACTTACTAACAACATATCCAAAAATCAAAACCAGCCGACCTTTTGCTCAGCAACCCTGTATTTTCTGACATATTTACTGGACTAATTCTTTACTAGGCAAAATTAATGTTTGCTGTACAAAAGTAATGTTAACCATCTTTTTTGGATTTAGCCGATATAAACAAACATTCCTTTGTTATGGTTTCATCAACTATTTCAATTTGCAACAACCAAAACTGTATAATCTATGTCAATTTGAACATAAATTAGAATAGAAGGCCTAATTAAAAAAAAATATATTAGTTTTGAAATGTTCCTAATTGTAATGAAGAAATATTTTAATGTCTATTTTTATTTTAAAATAATTAGTCTTTGTAGTGTAGCAAAAGGAAACGTTCAAAACACGAGTGAAAGGGGGTCATTATTCTCGACTATATTTTAAGTGTTTGATAAATCTCTTGCTTTAAACACATGGTCTAAAATGTAGTTTTTATTGTTTGCAAAGTTGGTAACCTTTTTAAAACAATGCCCAAATCTGAAACAACAGGTGGACAACCTGAGAAGACAAGCTGAAGAACAGGAAAGTAACTTGAAAGCGCAGGAAGAGGAGTTGTCAAATAAGAAACAAGAATTGGAAGGATTGAAACAGGAGGAATCTAGATTACAACAACAACAGGAAGAGTTTGGGAAGAAACTAGATACTCTCAGTCAAAACCTGCAAGACTCACAGCTGCAGATTAGTCAGGTATCAGTACAACTTGTGTTAAATATTTCTCCCTCATATCTCCTAAAGGAATTGTGTTTAGTTAACCCATTGAAGTGACGAACGGGTCTTGCCCCTCTCTGACATTTTGCCATGAGATAGTCGTACTACTATCCCACTGGCCCTCAAGTTGTACATGTAATCTAAACTACAAGCGCTAGTGTTGTGTGCTTATACTGGCAATCGACCCGCTCGCTCGACAATAGCATGGCAGCTTTGTTGGCTAAGGCATTGCACTGAGGTGTGTAGCATTATGGTCTACATGCGCGGATTCAAATCCCGTACATGAGCAATCTATATTGAGCTTACCATATGTTATTGGCTTCCTAGAAGGGGCCGGATAAACAAAGGACCGGTAAAACCAAGGCCGGTGTCAGGGGTTCTACTGTATGAGTATTTTAAAACCAAGATTTCACTGAAGATTCTAAGACCAAAACAAATAGGAATGTAATTGGAACTGCTGAAATACATCTTTAATTGAAGTAAAAATAAAAAAAAATCTAGTTTATGTTTTTGGGTCAAGTAATTAAGTAGATAAATGAATGATGATGCTTGATGGCAAATCTGTGCTTCTATACCTTAAATGTAAGATCAAAATTATGATATAATCGGTTGGGTATAAGAGCCAAACCAACTCGGAGAAGAAAACCCCATAATTTTTAAAATATATGCCGATGCTTGATGGCAAATCTGTGTGTGCATACCTTCAATTTGAAAATTGGTCGGGTAGCAGAGTCAAATGAACACGGATCCAAATTTTTTTAATATATAAGATTTAAGGCCAACATTATGAAAATTGGTCGGGTAGAAGAGCCAAACCAATTTGGAAAAGAAAAACCAATAATTTATAATATATGGATTGCACACAACACCTGTTTTGCTTCTTTTTACCTTGGTGTAGAAAAGGAGGACACAGATTTTTTACTTTTAATCATAGTTAAAAAGGGACATTTTGTGTTCAAATACATACATGATAAAAGGCATAAAAGAACATAACCTAAAAAATAATAGATAAATACAAAAACATTTCCATTGTCGAGTTAAACTGCATGGTACCTTGTACCTTGAGTGGAGGGTAATGTAAGAATATTACTCACTAAACCGTCAATCAGCCTTAGATTAATAATATTTATTTGGAGGTTAGGACATGTTTTGACACAATGGTGTAATCCATCCTGTTATGTTTTATATAGAGATCCGTTGTTACAGTTACCTAAAAAAAATGAATTCTCGATACTAATAATTTTTTATTTTACTGATTTTTTTGTATAAATTTGTTACTACACCAACCAATTTTTTTATGTCGTTACACAAAGTAATTTGAAGGGTTTGGGTTTTTTTTGCGATTTTCCCCTGTAGGGAAGAAGCTTTTTATTCAGGGTGTCTAGTAGTCGGGAAAATCGGGAAAGTCGGGAATTAGTCTTGAATTTCAAAATGGTCTTGAAAGTCGGGATTTAGTCTTAAATTTGATTTCAAAGTCGGGAATTTTCGTGATTTTTCCGCGATCGTCGTCTTGTGTTTACGTGACTGCAAAAGCCAACGATGATGTCTACACGGCCTCGAGAAATGTTCACGATTTTGCCGCAATAGTTGACGACGACGATGACGTTTCTGTGACCGCGGGAGATGACGATGACGTTTCCGTGACCGTGGGAGACGACGATGACGTTTCCGTGACCGCTGGAGACGACGATGATTTCTGCTCGGCCGCGGGAAATGTTCATGATTTTGTCACGATCGCGGACGACGACGATGACGTTTCTGTGACCGCGGGAGACGACGATAATGTCTACACGGCCGCGGGATATGTTCATGATTTTGCCGCGATCGCGGACGACAACGATGACGTTTCCGTGACCGCGGGAGACGACGATGATATCTGCTCGGCCGCGGGAAATGTTCATGATTTTGCCGTGATCGCGGACGATGACGATAACACTTCCGTGACCGCTGGAGATGACGGTGATGTCTAAACAGCCGCGGGAAATGTTCATGATTTTGTCACGATCGCGGACGACGACGATGACGTTTCCGTGACCGCGGGAGATAACGATGACGTTTCCGTGACCGCGGGAGACGACGATGATGTCTACACGGCCGCGGGAAATGTTCATGATTTTGCCGCGATCGTGGACGACGACGATGACGTTTCCGTGACCGCGGGAGATGACTATGATGTTTCCGTGACCGCGGGAGACGACGATGATATCTGCTCGGCCGCAGGAAATGTTCATGAGTTTGTCGCGATCGCGGACGACGACGATGACGTTTCCGTGACCGCGGGAGATGACGATGACGTTTCCGTGACCGCGGGAGATAACGATGACGTTTCTGTGACCGCGGGAGACGACGATGACGTTTCCGTGACCGCTGGAGACGACGATGATATCTGCTCGGCCGCGGGAAATGTTCATGAGTTTGTCGCGATCGCGGACGACGACGATGACGTTTCCGTGACCGCGGGAGATGACAATGACGTTTCCATGACCGCGGGAGATGACAATGACGTTTCCGTGACCGCGGGAGATAACGATGACGTTTCCTTGACCGCGGGAGACGACGATGACGATTCCGTGACCGCGGGAGATAACGATGACGTTTCCTTGACCGCGGGAGACGACGATGACGTTTCCGTGACCGCGGGAGATGACAATGACGTTTCCGTGACCGCGGGAGATAACGATGACGTTTCCTTGACCGCGGGAGACGACGATGACGTTTCCGTGACCGCGGGAGATGACAATGACGTTTCCGTGACCGCGGGAGATGACAATGACGTTTCCGTGACCGCGGGAGATAACGATGACGTTTCCTTGACCGCGGGAGACGACGATGACGATTCCGTGACCGCGGGAGACGACGATGATATCTGCTCGGCCGCGGAAAATGTTCATGATTTTGTCGCGATCGCGGGAGATGACGATGACGTTTCCGTGACCGCGGGAGATAACGATGACGTTTCCGTGACCGCGGGAGACGACAATGACGATTCCGTGACCGTGGGAGACGACTATGATATATGCTCGGCCGCGGGAAATGTTCATGAGTTTGTCGCGATCGTGGACGACGACGATGACGTTTCCGTGACCGCGGGAGATGACGATGACATTTCCGTGACCGCGGGAGACGACGATGATGTCTACACGGCCGCGGGAAATGTTCATGATTTTGCCGCGATCGCGGACGATGACGATGACGTTTCTGAGACAGCGGGAGACGACTATGATGTCATTGATGTCTACAAGGCCGCGGGAAATGTTCATGATTTTGCCGTGATCGCGGACGACGACGATCACGTTGCTGTAACTGCTGCAGTCAATGATGATGTCTAAACGTACTGTACATGGAAGAGTTCATGAAAAAAAAAAAACAAATTTGCTAGTTAGAATTTTTTATTGCTGCATTATTTCTTTACTTGAAAACACCACATTATCATAATACTACTTTATGACAAAGACAGGGGTTGGTGTAGTATTATTCAGAAAATTTTGTTAAGCTATAAAAATTGGTATCAGTATCAAGAATCGAGAATCGATACATTTTGGTATCAACACGCACTAATTGTTGAAAAAACTAGTCTTGAAAAATCTGGAATTAGTCTTGAAAAGTCTGGAATTAGTCTTGAATTTTATAATGGAAATAAACTAGACACCCTGTTTATTGTAGGTGACATGGTAATACCAAGGTCCCGTACCGATTTTTCATGTTTATGTCTTTAAAAATGGCGTGTTATTCTTACTTACCAAAGCCCTCTGATCTTTTTTAACACCACAAAAATTACCTTCAAAAACCTTGAATAACGTAGGGTAACATAAAACTTTGTTTTTGCCAGGTGAAAGCCAGTATTACCCAGCTAGAGGAGCATCAACGTCAGATACAAGACGCGATCGGGCGTGTTGAGACTGCCTCTACAAGTGGTGACGTGACCAGTGTACCAGATACGTGTCTGCATCTACAGCCAGAGTTCCGCGACCCTTCACACACCAAACTGGTTTCCGAACAGGTAATGAACAGCTGATTTTCATTGTTGTTAGTCCTGGGGGGAACAACCTCAATCGACCTAGAACAGGTTCTTATCCTAACTAAAAAGAATGCAATCATGTGCCTAGTTGAATCGGGCAACAACACAGTGGCTTTGGATCTTTTAAGGATATAAATACTGACTGTAGTATCACGTTACCTTAGAGGAGGACATAGATTTTTCATTTTTTGCTTTTATTTCTCTTAAAGATGGACTTTTTGTATTGAAATACATCTATAATAAAAAATATAAAAATACATAACTTAGAAAAAGTTAATTAAATGAATTAACTAATAGGAAAGTGAATAAATCTAGTTTCAATGGGTTAAACAAGTAACAAATTATAATACAAATTAAATACTAAAGTACTGTTCTGTTAGTAATATTTTTATCAGAACATTTAATCCAACTTTTCTCAATAACATTGTTGGAGATAACAGGCTTATGCCATCACAACCATACTGTTTAAATGTAGATGAAGTTTATATAGGTTTTTTATTATTTTCAGTTACATGACCCAAGTAACGATGCCTTCACAAACGGACCAACGGGTGACAACTTTATGAATAATAACTTTGCCAATGGTAACTATGTTGTTTTATTTACTGTATTTTCTATTATTTATTCAAATAACATATTGTGCTTGCTACTTTTAACAAAATAATTAATTGTAAAGTGATTTTTACTCTTCTACATTAAATTTCAATAGATTTGGATATTGGATAGTGATTGTAAAAAATATTAAGTTAAGTGTTAAGCAATGGCGGTTTTTAAATAAAACCAAAGGTTCTGTTGTGGCCTTGCTGAGTAATGTTTAAATCTCATATCCTTATTTTGAACAGAATTGTTTCTTGTCCTAATTAACTTCAAGCAATTAATTCTTGAGTTTGTGTGTGTATAGCTGAGATCAACTTAATCTTGATGGTATGCTTCCACAGTAGGCCTAATAATACACTGTCTAGATATTCATGAGATGATGTGTTGTTGAGTTGGCAAAGGTAGTGGCCTATAGCTCGAAATGTCAGCCACTATCTTCGCCAATTCAACATCATTACAATCATTTCTGGAAGACCAAGAATATAATTACATTGTAATGTATTAAAAACAAAAAATCAATAAAAGATTTTTACTCAGATTAGAGAGTACTGTATTTCTGGACGAGATGGGGTCCAGCTAGTTACCTGAGAAAAAAACTCAGGGGCTTATAATTATATAAATACACAATAAAACGTCATATAACACTGATGTTGAAACACTCTTTAATCAGCTTCATGGCTCTCACTAAAATTTGTATATTTCTGTTCTGATATTTTTTTTTAAGTAGTATAACTTATGTTTTGTTAGCTATAGTTTTTGCTGATAACATTTACAATTAATATTTAACAAAATCATATTGGTTTCGTATACTGTATTATCACTTACGCGTTGTTGTTTACAGATCCATTTTCTAACCCATCTGCTGCATCAAATCAAGACCCCTTTGCTTCGAGTGGAGGATTTGCTGCAGACTTTAACAAACCTGTGGTAAGTTTATTTGCCAAGTTTTACTTCTCATCCCTCCAAAGCTTTTAACTTTAAGTTAAAACAACCATTGTGCAAATTTCGTTTATACAACAAAATTCAATGTGTTTTAACTACACTTTCTTTATTTTACAGGAAACATTTGCTCCAGACCCGTTTGCCAGTGCATTTGGTTCAAGTATATCTAATGGTATGTATTTTGTTAGTAAGCATTTAACTATCTGAATGGAAATTTTTGAACTTTACATCTTCTTGATTCCCTTTCAATATTGTTTTGGCTTTACGTTCATTTACGACCAATGTATTCGATAAAATATTTCTTACTGGATTAGTTTTGTTGTATTTATGTTTCAACAACGTGTTTTAGGTAAATCGGATCCTTTTGACCCCTTTGGTGATGGAAGGCAAAAGACTTCAAAAACGCCCCAACAAGAAGAAGTGAGTGCTTTTAATTAAACTGAAAAGTAAAAACAATGTTCTACTTACAACCATTTGTTTAAATAAGCCCAATATTATAAATGATTTAAATTAGTGTTATAAAGTTGATTAGTAGTTCTTTTACAAATTAGTATTTATTTACAAGTGTTTTTGTATATACAGTAGACTCCCTCTTATTCTAGACTCATTGGGACCGATTCAAGTCCAAATAACGGGGTTTCTAGTTAAACTAACGTCCCCTAAAACTTGTTAAATTTGGTACATCTAATTTTTGGTTTGTTTCACTTAACTGTTATTCGGTTTCGCCAGGCTGCCAACAAAGACCCGTTTGGTTGTGATCCGTTCGCTATCCTGCACGCCCCCACTAGAGACTCTGTTGCTGTTGGGCCGCCTCCTCGCCCTGAGTCTCCGAGCCCTGCTTTGCCACCCAAGAAGAGCAAGGTAAATACATTACAAATATGTAAGTAAGGTCCAGATGTAAACTCCAGGAAAGGTTTTTTGATCCAACCTTTTAGAAATTGACATTAAAATTAAAATATTTGGTAACCTATGGAATAATGTATCATTACTAATCAAGCTTTTTAAAGTAGTGATGGGCGGATCCAAGAAAATGTTGGATCTTTGGATCCGGATCCAGATACAAACTGTCATAAGGGTGGGTTAAAAAAAAAAAACGTAATTAACAGAATGTCAATTTAAATCATACTGTTTAAAATTAAATTGGTAATGTTTAAAGGTAATATATCTTATATACAGGGTGGTAAAAAAGTCCCAGGACATTTAAATATTTTAAAAAATAATGCAGATAGAGCTAGAATGCTTGGTACAAAGTTACAGGGCATAAAACTCTATTTTAACACATATTCAGTGATCCAATAACTAACTCTTCAGGGAGACGGCCCACAAGGATTCGGAAGAAAATCTTAAACGGAAGCATAGGTCAATATGCACATCAAATTAAAGGTCTTTTTTAGTAGAATACAATGCCGCAAACCGCACTTCAAAAGGTTTATCCTCCGCAAAATGACAGTTGTTCAAAGATTCATTAAATTTACAATGCTATTATACGCTTACTCCTCAGGGGGCACAGCCCTAGGAGTCGGAAGAAAATTGTTAACATAAGCATAGGTCGATATGCACATCAAATTAAAGGTCTTCACTAGTAGATTACGATGCCGTAAATTTAAGCTCAAAAGAATGCCTGAGTAAAAAATGGCAGTCGTTCAAAGATTCAAAATGGCGGATTCGAGAAATCTTTGAACATCTGCCATTTTGCGCAGGATCAACCTTATGAAGTGTGGTTTGCTACTAAAAAAGACCTTTAATTTGATGTGCATATTGACCTATGCTTCCGTTTAAGATTTTCTTCTGACTCCTTGTAGGCCATTCCCCTGAAGAGTTATTGGATCACTGAATATGTGTTAAAATAGAGTTTTATGCCCTGTAACTTTGTACCAAGTATTGTAGCTCTATCTACATTATTTTTTTAAATATTTAACTGTCCTGGGACTTTTTTACCACCCTGTATAGAGTAATCTCCAGTTGAGCACATAATCCCTAATTTTTTGGGGACACTAACAATTTTCAAAATCATAAAATGCACTAAGTTTGCACAGCCACCAAAAGGGTATATGTGTATATTTTACCATATAGTTCGATCTTGAGTATGCTTTATCGTGGTTTTTGCATGCAGCATCCAATTTATTTATGCCTGGATCACCTCTTGTTAATCTCTTACTTAAATTCGTTCCAGGTCCACAGTACTGATAGCTGGTTATGTGAAGTTCTACAAGTAAAATACCCCGTGTCTGCGTACAAGAAGTCTATACTGTGTTCTAACTTAGAAAAATATTAGATGGGGGAGTCTTGACTTTTTATTCACCCTGTATATACAGAGATAATCTTGTACACAGACACAGGGTATTTTATAGTGATGGACAAGACCAAAAACTTGATGATTTTTTTGATCACGAAGCATCGGGTGGGATTGAAATTGAAATAATAACCGGATATTTTCAAAATGGGATTATAGGCCATTAGCTTATCATCCAGGTACAAAACTAAAAACTAGAGGTGTGCAGGTATCCAAAAAATCGGGTCGGATTCGGTTCAGAAAGATACATGTCATTGCCATATATGTTATTTGCATCAAGAGTCAAACCCTAAGACATGGTCTTGCCATAGGCCTATATGTAATTTGCATCAAGAGACGAACCCTGAGTCATGGCCTTGCCATATAAGTTATATGCATCAAAAGACAAACATTGAGTCATGGCCTTGCCATAAAAGTTATATGCATCAAAAGACAAACACTGAGTCATGGCCTTGCCATATAAGTTATTTGCATCAAAAGACAAACACTGAGACATGGCCTTGGCATATAAGTTATTTGCATATAGAGACAAACACTGACACATGGCCTTGGCATATAAGTTATTTGCATCAAAAGACAAACACTGAGTCATGGCCTTGCCATATAAGTTATTTGCATCAAGAGACAAACATTAAGTCATGCCCTTGCCATATAAGTTATTTGCATCAAAAGACAAACACTGAGTCATGGCCTTGCCATATAAGTTATTTGCATCAAGAGACAAACATTAAGTCATGCCCTTGCCATATAAGTTATTTGCATCAAAAGACAAACACTGAGTCATGGCCTTGCCATATAAGTTATTTGCATCAAGAGACAAACATTAAGTCATGCCCTTGCCATATAAGTTATTTGCATCAAAAGACAAACACTGAGTCATGGCCTTGGCATATAAGTTATTTGAATCAAAAGACAAACACTGAGTCATGGCCTTGGCATATAAGTTATTTGCAACATGAGACAAACACTGAGACATAACCTGCCTTGCCATATAAGTTATTTGCATCAAAAGACAAACACTGAGTCATTGCCTTGCCATATAAGTTACTTGCAACAAGAAACAAACACTGAAACATGGCCTTGCGATATAAGTTATTTGCATCAAAAGACAAACACTGAGTCATGGCCTTGCCATATAAGGTATTTGCATCAAGAGACAAATACTGAGCCATGGCCTTGCCATATAAGTTATTTGCATCAAAAGACAAACACTGAGTCATGGCCTTGGCATATAAGTTATTTGCATCAAAAGACAAACACTGAGTCATGGCCTTGGCATATAAGTTATTTGCAACATGAGACAAACACTGAGACATAACCTGCCTTGCCATATAAGTTATTTGCATCAAGAGACAAAGACTGAGGCATGGCCTTGCCTTCAAGTTATTTGCATCAAGAGACAAACATTGGAGGAAAAACGGTCTTGTACATGGATACAGACAGCTTTGTGTTACTAAACAAATCGGGGGGAAATCTGTCTCTTTCATGGATACAGACAGCTTTGTGTTAGTAAACAAATCGTGGGGAAATCGGTCTCTTTCATGGATACAGACAGCTTTGTGTTTGAAAAAATCGGATCCGTCAAAACAGAATCCAGCACAAGGTCTGAAATTTTTTGGATCCGATCGGGTGCCGGTTCTAGCTCGGATCCGGTAGTCCGATATCCGGATCCGACCACCATTATTTTAAAGACAACTTTAAAAATTTAGAAAAGAGACTTTGGGGACCAAATTCATCTAGTCCTACATGAGTCCCACTATTTTAATATATGCCTTGTATTATTATTTTTTAAGATTTTATTACGAAGCTAATGTGAAATCGAGAATATCATCTGCAGTCACAGCGGAAACAAGAGCTTCTTCCTTGGTAACAGCAAAATTGCAAACCTCTTCCACGTTCCACGGTTGCAGAGACATCATCGTCTCCCCAAATCCCTGCAAAACCATGAACATCACCCCTTCAAATTATTTATTGCACATCTTTGTAGACACTTTCTGCAATTGCAAAAACAAAAACTAGGCGTAGTGAAAGTGAAGTTGTAAAATCTTTCAAGGTTTTTGTGATCACCTGTGGTTACGGCAAAATTTAAAAATATTTTGGAGTGACAGTAAAATTGTGAACATATTTGGCGGTCACAGCAACATCACCATCGATCTCCGCAATCGTGGCAAAACCGTGATCATTATCTGCAAACTTCATGGTCAGCAATTCAAATCTATTTATTCCGATTCCCACTTATCCGAATGGGGTTAGGACTAAACTACTGAGTTTGCTTGTGTTTATGTATACATTTTCATCAAATTTGACAAATTCGTTCATTTTATACTAAGCTATCAACATTTCAATCAAAAAACACACCTTAACCCCCTTTACCCTAACCAACAACATCAACCAAGGACATAAAAATTTGTTCCAGAGGAAGTGTTTTTGTAATTTTTTATTTATTCTTCGTCTTTTTGTTTGTGTGTAATTAAATGTGTAACATCGATGGATTTTAACTTCAACGACTTCCTCTGGAACGATATTTGATGTCCTTGACAGCCTGATGAAGTTTCCATCGGGAACGAAACTGCAGTAGCCTATATAGACTGCAAAGGATCACTTTGATAGTATATTTAAACCATTATTTATTACTATACCAGTGATCAGGAGGCTAACAACATGAAATTGATATTTTATTTCAAATTCGCCAGGTGCCGCCGCCCAGACCCGCCCCTCCTCGCCCACTGCAGCCGCCAACCCCAAGCCCAACGCCTGCTGACCCATTCAATGCCCCAGCGGCCAACTCCACATCAGATCCATTTGGGTCCGACCCGTTTGCATCCAGCAATAGTTTTGCTGACTTTTCAAATTTCAACAGTAAGGTGAGTGGAGTTTATTGTAGGTATGATAGATGTTTGTTTTTGGCTGTGTGACTTAAAAGCGTAATTTGTAGTCTTATAGTTTAGTTTTTAAAATACATTTTTTTGATGATAAACGGTGTAAATATTTGTTAGGGGATAAATTAATACCCAGTACAACTATTTGAACACAAGTTTATTAACACATTGAAGATTTTTGCAATCTTATTCAAATTAGTAAATACATATACTGTATTACAATCCTTTTTTTTAGTAGCCTACTTGATTCATGTTTCCCTTAAAAATTTGTAATAATTTAATGAGAGGAAAAACATTTTAATAAGAAAATGTTTTCTTATTAAAATGTTTTTCCTGTATGTTATGAGATGTATATACAATTCCAAAGATATATTTGATCTTTGAAAATTTTTAATAAATAATCTATTGTTTTTTGCCTTCTTAAAACCGCTTGCAATCTCAGCATGTCATAATAAAACAAGGATGTACTGTGTTGCCAAAAAGCTTTATAAATAATCTGCTATTTGAGTATTTCACTTAACATTTGGATCTTTCGAATGAAAACTAACAATACTAACTGATCTTTAAGTATGGAGCTTCATTTCTAAAATAAACAGGTACTGTAGTGAAGTTGATAAAAAAAGAAATTTTTCAATGGAAATGGAATTAATTTTTTTTTAAGATGATAAGACTTAAATATTTTACACTTTATGTTAAATCTGATGTAGGTTGTAAAACTCATCTCAATTTATAGTCGATGTTTTAAAATTTCCTTGGAAAAAACCTTTAAAAATTAAGGACGGGGTAAGTATCCTTGTAAAATAATAGAGCCACATGTGAACTTAAACATCCCCCTCTTAATGTAATTTATTATTATAATCCCACTATGTGGTAAAACATTAAAAATATCATTGGTTAGGTTATTTCTATGACTCTTTTTTTTGCCTGCGTGTCCGAATTTAGAAATCTCTTAGACTTTAATTTTTTTTAAGTAGGCTATGTAAATATTTTCTACAGTTGATGCATTCTTAAATTGATCGATCATAAAACAAATAAAATTGTTGCTATTGCAAATACCTATAGCTCTATGAATTACATAAAATTCAAGAAATCCAGACTGCCAGTTTATCGGGTGAAAAGCTTGTAGAACTTGTGTACACAAAACTGATTGAGCTACTATGCAGGGTTGCCATTATGTAATTTAAGTTTTCTCAACAATTTCACTCAGACAATTTAAAAATCCATTATAGTATGATTCAACCTTGTGCTCGTGATGCTTAAGAATGCATCAGCATGTTCTGTAAAATTATTTTGCATGTGTGTTATCAGTGCCACCACTCCTCTTCCTTGCCTGTCAGTTGCCTTATCAGCGTAATACCCTCGACAGAACATATTCAGCTCCTTCTTAGTTTTCCTCGAAATTCTCCCGACTGGGCTAGGTTAGTTGCCCAGGTAGGATGTGTAGATTTTATTTAATGACTCTTTGCTTGGTAAAAAGTAAGAAAACAACAACATTCTCTTACAAGTTTTATTTAAAATGTTTTTAAAAGGAGAGACTTTAAATAATTGATATTAATTCAATAGTAGTAGTGTTCGATCAGCTAGACATTGCTGGTTATAGAAAGACAGCCTACACTTCATTATCTTTATATTTCCAATAAAAAGGGATGTAATTGAATTGAGCTCTGTCAGAATTGGCTGATGTATTGTAAACTGTCACAGTAACAAGGCTCACTCTGTGTGTAGCACATTCAACTATGCTTTTGTAAATAAAGTAGTGGTAACATTTGGCCAATACAGGGTGAATCAGACCACCCGTGCGTTGTTTGACCCAACAAACGTTAAAACAACATTTTTTATTGAAAACACGCCATTTAAAATTTGTTTAGTGGGTTATAATTTTAAAATGTCACATAAGGCACTTATCTTTCAATGTTGGGATCATTAAAAGTACAAATATATGTCCAAAAAATAAATGTTAAAAACTAAAAACTCGTTGAAAATCAAAGACATTTTACAAATTGTAGAAGTATGGCGTTTTTTTTTAAGGTGAAGAAGTGCGATAAAAAAAGTCTAAGAGGGTCTTGTTCAAAATTAATTTCCTGGCCATGAAAATTCCTTCAAATCTTTCTCATAAACTTAGACTAATTGTAGTTTTTTTTAAAGTTGACCAGAAAAAAATCTAGGGTTACGTTTGGTCAATGGGATGACTTTACTTTACACTAATTTTGTTAAACCTTCACAAAAGGGCCTTAACAAAAGGACTTATGTCCCTACAAGCCACTAGTTACAATTATTTACAGTTTACAATATTTACAACTACAAGTTATAAAAATACACTCAGTTGGGATCATTTTGTTTTGTACATATTAAAACATTCTCTTCCTAAAAGTTTTTTATTATAGTTGATTTTTCAAACTAATCTCCTTGTTTCTGTAGTTGTGTGCTCAATTTCCCGAATATACTTCTGCAATGTTTTCGTATTGTCTTACTAACAAGTGTCTAACCAAGTTATGCTTTTCCTCCTTTCCTGTTGGATTTTCGGTTCTTTATGATTTTATTATTTTTGTAACACTAAGCCTTAATTATATTAAGTTTTTAATGTTTCTTCCCTCCCTCTCCCACCCTGTTCAATCTGCCTAGTTTGCTGAAAGTCCTGTGAGAGCTGCGCCGGCCGTACCGAGTGTGCCGAGTGCTCCTGCACCCAGTGCTCCTGCACCACCGGTTCCAAAACTCGACTTCACAGAGGATCCGTTCAGGGACTATCGCTACGAGGATCCATTCAACTTTGCCGATCCCTTTGACGACGAGGATGGATCTATCCCCAGCATATCAAATAGTTCTGCAAAACTGGACCCGTTCGGAATGGAAATAATTGATAGTGGTAAAAACACGCCTGTGAACGGTAAACTGACACCAACGATTAGCAAGAGTGTTAATGGCAAGAAGACGCCGATGAATGGGAAAAACACACCTTCACCACTTCCGTCGGAAGACCAACAGTTGGCTTGGGCAGCTGCAGAGAGCCTTCGACTGGAGGAGGAGAGGCGTAAGCAAGCTGAAAGGGAAAAGGCGGATTTGGAACTCGCATTGGCTTTGAGCAAAAAGGAGAAGAAGCGAAGCGGACCGTTTTCAAAAATCCTCTCCTGACAATCCAAATCGTAACTCGGTGTCGGAATCGGCCGAGTTTTCAGGTCTGAGAAGTGTCCTCAGTTCCTACACAAACTGTTTACTTTGACTGAGTTTACAAAAATTTACCACAATCGTTGCGACCTTTCAAAAACGTTCTATAGGTTTTTTGATTATTTTTTTAGTCTTCCAGCAACTTAGGATAGTCTCATGGTTTTTGTTATGTGCCATCAAATGTGTACGATATTATTTTAAGGCCCTATAGTACTGACATAGATTTAAATTTGTTTATAATTGGAAATTGTTTCTATTAAATATGGTTACTTTTTAGATGTTTTTCACTGTTGAGTTTAAGTTGACAATTGACTTACCACTATGGCTGTATTCCAATACGGCGACCTAATGAATAGTAACCCTAGACATAAGCAAGAAACCCTAATGTGCCTGTTTATTTAAACTACACACTCATAGTTTTATTTGAAATAATTGTAGGGTTAGACTCGATCTAGACATTGTGTTCATTTTTCTAAAGTTTGGTTATAATTTTATATTTCTTCCCTATACTTTTTAATCAAACAAGTGTTTGGGTAAACGTTTTGAACATAAAGAATTGAAAGTTGTTAACATGATGTGTGTTCATTCAGTACCAAATATTTGATGTCGGATCGCTTATTTTCATTTTGGCAAGAATGACTGTTCAAACTTCTGTAGAAACCTTAAGTATACTATAGCAACTAATGGCTTTTGCTGCACATTTGTGTGACGTATGCCTTCACGACAATACCGCTTTTGTCTAATTTTAGGCCTACTTGTAGACAAATTGTAAACTACAAGTTCATCCCAGTTAGTGTTTAGTCGTTTTCACATCAAGCTTTAATTTGCCCCAGTAAGCTTTAACGGCTGGGAAGAGAATTCTCAACTTGTATTTTGTAATTTGCTACAACATTCTCGATGTTCATATCATGTTATGTAAATATTGTTATTAGTAGGCTAGTCGATGTATATAGTGGATGTTTGGTTATACCAGTACCCTTCGCTTTCGTGTTTATGGACACTACACTGCTGTTTCGTTGAAGTAAGTGGAGATGTCTGAAAGTATAGGTGCAAAGATAGATGTGATTTGATATAGCAACATTACAGTGGTTTGCATTGGGTGTATGTAGCCTTGCCAAAGAACCCAGTCGGTAATGTGCCTATTGTAAACACTCAGCACTAAAAGTTTTTTATGTGGAAACTAAATTTTGATAGCTTTGTTCAAAATTATCTACTTTTTTGTTTTATTTTTGTGTTTATTTTTTGTGCATCTGTAAGAATCCTTGAACTTTAATTTTTTGTAATTTTTAGCATTTATTTACATTGCCTTACAACTGTACTAACAAAGAATTGTTTTCCAAATTTAATAATACTAAATAGATCAATTACATGTATGCTAATAAAAAATAAAAATAACCTCTAAGTATACATAGTTTAAAAGAATAAGTAATGACACACGTTTTAATCTCCTAAACGATATTTATGTGCAATAATATAAGGTACTGTACTCAAATAGAATTTAGAAACATTTTAAAGTAGGTGGAGATTTTAACAAACAAATTCGGAAACGATCTATACAGGGTGAATTTTAAATGAGTTCCCCCCCTACTTTTTTCTACATTTCTTAAGATATCATTTCCGGACCATGTCAGATCATTGTTTAGTAGTAAGTACTTCATTTTGACTGGGTATACATTTTTGGCCGCCATCTTGGATCCGCCATATTAGATACAAAGTTTTTTTTTCAAATGTAAAGGTAGGGTTGTGACCCATTATTTCAAACTAGAATTTTACGCTGATTACAATGCCGCAATTAGTTTTTAAAAATCTTGATTCGTTCTAAAGTTATGAGGACTTTTTATAACTTTATTTTTAGCGCATTTTAACATTGTGCATTTACAAACTAAGACCATAATCTCAAAATAGTGCTAGATAAAGATAAGTATACACCACCATTCATTGTCGACATATTTTCACTTGGTTATGACGGATGTAGTTTTTTCAGCCGCCATCTTGGATCCGCCATTTTGAAATGTGATCAATTAATTTAAATATGAAGGTGGTGTTGTGACCCATAATTTTGAGTTATTTTTTTATGCTGAACTCAATGCCGCAATCCGTTTTTCATTTGCATCTTTGGATTTTGAAATATTGAAATTTTAAATAAGAGTATTTTAATATTTCATCAAGAAAGCTTGATAACCAAAAACGGATTGCAGCATTGAGTCCAGTATAAAAAAGTAGTTCAAAATGATGGGTCGCAACACCACCTTCATATTTAAATTACTTGATCACATTTCAAAATGGCGGCTCCAAGATGGCGGCTGAAAAAACTACATCTGTCAAAACCAAGTGAAAATATGTCGACAATGAATGGTGGTGTATATTTATCTTTATCTAGCACTATTTTGAGATTATGGTCTTAGTTTGTTTACACAACGTTAAAATGGGCTAAAAATAAAGTTATAAAAAGTCCTCATAACTTTAGAACGAATCAAGATTTTTAAAAACTAATTGCGGCACTGTAATCAGCGTAAAATTCTAATTTGAAATAATGGGTCACAACCCTACCTTTACATTTGAAAAAAAACTTTGTATCCAATATGGCGGATCCAAGATGGCGGCCAAAAATGTATACCTAGTCAAAATGAAGTACTTACTACTCAACAATGATCTGACGTGGTCCGGAGATGATATCTTAAGAAATGTAGAAAAAAGTAGGGGGGGAACTCATTTAAAATTCACCCTGTATATCTATTTCATTTGAAATCCTATATTAAACTAAGAATATCAATCAATATTCTTTAAATACAGTTTGAAATCTTGTACTAAATAATAAAAATTGGTTAGATAAAGTTATTTTAACGAAATAAGTTCCTGTTAGATAGCTTTTTTGTGTCAGATTTTCATATTTGGAAATATAGTTTATCACTCTTGTGAATACTTTGAACCTACTTTTTGTATATTTTATTTACTGTAAAGAACATAATGGGTATTTTGTAACAGAATTATTTCCAAAGATTGTACATCTGTTTGTATATATTTGTTTTGTAATATGTGTAATTATTCATAGATGTCATAGAGGCCCTTGAGTATTGTAGTTAACATGGTTTTGTTGAAATAGTTTTGTACAGTTGACAATTTCATTTTTTTATTTTGTTGAATATTACTAGCTCAATGTACATTTAGCAAGCTGTATTTTAATACTTTAGTGTATTTTTGAGTGATATAAGTTAACTAATTTCAAAATTTCTGAACCAATCTACTAATTTTCTAAAGATTTGTACAGTTAGTTATTTAATAAAGCAGTTAATACTTTTAATCTTTAGGTGTTTCTATACACACAGGATTTTTATCCCAATAACAGGAATTTCAGACCATGCTTGGGATTAAAACACAATACGGGTTAAAACAAGATTTTAAGCTCTTAACGCCTACATTTATATTTTTACTGCTTCTCAGATAGAAATTTATCCTGGATGCAAGATAACTTGAGATAGAACGGGAATTTTTATTCATTCAGGATTTAACTGGATTTTCTAAACCTGTTAAGCAGGATTTTTGCTTTTGTCAAGTAAGAACATTGCTTGGGCTATAAGAGAACTTAAGTTTTTTAAGCCATGAAAGATTTTTGTTATGGTAGTTATATTTTTTTCTGAGCAATGTATCTACAACATAACGTTTTTGCTATTTCATTATAGTATTATATCCTCCAGGTTGATGATATATTTTGATATTGTTAAATATATTTCCTTGTTGTTTCTAAATACCTTAAGTTTTTTACTGCCAGTAAAAAATATCCTCAATTTTTTTCTAAAATTCTAAATAATTTTTTTCAAAATCATTTGTAACTGCTGAGGGGACTTGATGTTGCATGTAAGATTCTGTCACAACAAGCGGGCGCCTGGAATGCACAATGTTCATATTTCTGTTAGCTAGCATTTCAACTCGTCTAGTGTACATACAATCGATGCAAATAGGTATGTGGATAATTGTAAATTTTGAAAATATGTATCGATAGTAATATTTTAGCTTATTTATTTATTTTATTTCAATTGAGAAATCTTAGCCTTGTACGCATTCCATTAAATTATTATAATGTTATTGACAGTAGTAACTCGTGTAAGAATGTACATGACAATAGTGTGGATAATATATTTTACAATGTTAAGTTCTCTACTCACATGTTTTATTCATAACCAAAGTATTCATAAATGATGGTGAGATTATAGTAGTGTAAATGCACAAATGTAAGCAATATTTTAACTAGGTATTCATTTATGCTTTCTTTGTGCCTCCTTAATTTAAGTATAAAACAGAATTTGTGTTGTGTAGTATTTTTATGGAATAAACAAGTAATCATTGAAAAAATAAGTGTATTGTTTTGTTAAAGTGGGATTTCTTTCTCAAATTTTACCCAGAATCTGTCTTGTTAAACTACAACTTATTACCTATGTTAAATTCAACTAGTTTCTATCTAAAACTTGGCTACTATGTTAAGCTATAAAAAAAATCCTATTGTAAAATCGAGTATACTCCGCGATTGTGTAAAAAACTAAGAGAGATAGTTTTAATGACAAGATGTTAGGAAAAACTCTTTAATATTGTTTAGTGTAGATAAAAGTGTTTTTTTCAAAATGGACCATTCAAGACCAGAATGTTACTGCCATGGCAGGTACTGAATTTATACATGTTACCTTCTCTTACTGTTCAACTTGTTGTATGTTTTGTCTAATATAATATTTATAATGTTGGATTTGTTACACCCTGACATGTAAACTAGGCGAAGTGTAAATAAAAGAGCAACGATATCTGGATTTGGCGAGATCGTGCAAACACAGATATTTGCTCAATATAAATATATGTGGTTTAAGCGTGTGTGTCTTTTTACCTTTGATTCCACATTTTCTTAAGTTAACATACACTCCAGTTGTTAAGATGTACATAACATCACTATTAGCTGTATTGCCTAGTAGTACTGTATTGATTAGCCTACCTAGTATTGATCAAACTTTGCAAACATGTCACTTGTCATTACATTTTCTCTGTTTTCAAACTCATCCAAATCTGTTGTGACTATTTTTAATTTGAACCACCAACTATTTATACTTTTTTAAGCAATTATTATCACAAACAAATAGCCTATTATAAAAATATCCTACAAAACTTAAAATTTGACTACTCTAACATTAAAAAATAACATCAGGCAATACTCGTCCATTTAGCAACTGCAACTAAGATGTGAGGAATTGCACAGAGGTATGTAATACGAGGAGTTGACAACTGTGTGATAACAAACAGTGAAGCTACTTTGAAGCCTTCAGCATTAATAATTTCCCTAGTACAAACAGCGAAACAGCGACATAAAAGGGGTTATTTCAATATACCCCAATCCAATGTACTACTATACAGAAAGTGCAATTTATATTTTACTTTAATTACATGCCTCAATACGGTATTCACCGTTTATGTTGAACACAGCGGCGGCTCCATGGATTAATTTTTTTGGTAGGCCTGACAAGGATCTAGAAAGAGTGTGATCGGGGGACGAGAGGTTTGATGGGCTTTCCCCGCATAAAGTGGGGATTTTAAAAATTTGAATGCAAAATAATTAGTATAAATATTTTTTCACATAATTCAATTTATTTATTTATAACTTTGAAATATCTACCAACATTTCTGGCCTGCTCTCTGGAGCCGTGCCTAGAGTTCATGCAATTCAAGTAAACAATAGTAGTGCTAGTGCTCGTCTTCAGGAGGAATGGTTAGTGAGAATAAAATATACTGAGATAATACCGTTATGAGCCTCTTAGCCATAACAAATGCAAAATGAGATTTGTAAGGAGGGTAATGAAAACTAACACACAACACAATTAACACATGATTTTAATTAATGATCTTTTTGACACATTATACCGTGAATTTTAATTCAACAAATTCAAAACGGGTGCAGAATTAGTTAGATTACCCCAGATTTATATAACGTATAAATCAAATATCAATGTTTCAAAATTACCAATATTACAAGGGCTGTCAGGATAGGAAAGTCAAACAAAATGTAATAAATTACTGCCATTGTCAAAGTTGATACATTTACCATAGCTCAAGATTTACGAGTCTCTGTATTTTGGTACTAATCAGTCCAATGTAAAAGTGGTATTACTGGCATATTGTTTTTCATAGAAACTTAATGAATTAAACTTTTTAAATTTGGAAGAAAGTTCTTAATTAATATATTAAAATTTCCTATTTTTTAGAAAATTGTGGCATAAATTTATTAATTTTGTTACACAAGTAAGCCACTTAGGCCCTACATTAACTAGGATGTCTTTCTTTGACTTTTTTGTTGTAAATTGTATTTCAAGGTTTATTTATTACTAGCAGAGTACCCGTCCTTCGTACGGGATTGGCATATAAGTAGTATAAAATGCTTATTGCAGTTATACTCAAACTTTGCGTTTGCAATGAGGGAGGCCACAGTTTGATAAAATTTTCCTCCTTAAATTTACAGTACAAAAATATCTCTACCCTACTTATTAAATGGGTCAACACACATAGCAACAGACAGGTTATAATTGTGAATCTCACAGACGCAATAAATTTATCCGCAGACAAAACTATCACTACCCTACTTATTAAATGGGCCAACACACACCACATCTGTCACCTTAGTTACTGAATATTTATATCATATAGTTGTTAGTCTTTTCTGACTGCTAAGGGGCAGTGAATACAAAGTTCATATGTAGGGGCAAGGATTGTCCATCCTCTGGATGGATGTTTCAATATGTGTTGACAGCCTCCATCCATCAACAGATGGATGTCTGCAAGCAAACATCCAATGCCCGGTGTGTTGGCCTTAAAAAGGTTGTTGAGAAAAATGTTAGGTAAATCTTTAAAGATGTTTGTATATTTGTAAAGTAATAAAATAATAATAGATGTAAAAAAGTACATGTTACGGTCTGCTTGCAAAATATTAATGCAAAATAAACTTAGGTATACAGTAGTTGACATTTTTGTAAAACTTAAAATCATCATTACATCAATTAAAATAATGACCTAATTGGTTTACCAAAATTAAGAGTGTTCTTGAGCATTGCGTTGCCTTTTTTTCTAGGAGGCGGTCTAAACTCTAACCTTATCACCATATAACACGGATCCTTTCTCTATATAATAAATAATTAAAATTTGTATATGATTATAAGAAATTAACTGCTATTTAAAGTGTCATTAAAAATGGTTCAATTAAATAGTAAAACAAAAAAAATGATTATATAAGCTGTACAATAATGGAAATTAAAATGGATATTTACATGGTAATGGTTAAACAAACAAAAACTAGAAATACTATCACAGTGTATAGGTATAGTTCTAAAATTAATTTCCAAGAATAGCTTCTTCAGAAGGACGTGAGAAGATCTCTTTTCGATTTACATTATTCTCATCCTCTTCTATAACTAATACCTGTGTTGAAGAACTATTTGTTTCACAAACGTGAACATTATCTCCGCCATGTAGAGCCAAATCATACTGGTTTTCCAAATCATAACACACAGTTCGATGTGAACGGTTCATCGACTCAAAACTTGGAAGTGGAATTAGACTTTCTCTCGGTTCTTCATCAACTCGACTAGGCCTACTTGACTGTCCTTCATTTTGCTTGTGTGACGTGTTGTCGCTATTTTCATTTAAATTTTCATTAGCAGTCAATTGGTCAATAATTTGTATGCTCTCAGATATAAAATGTCTATTTAGAATTGTAGACTTGTGTCCACTTTGCCTCCCTTCTCGCACACTTGTAGGCAAAGAGGAAGAGAGATCTTGGGCACTTTCGTTCTGTTCCACAGTACTTAGTTCAGAGAGATTAGGATCACCTTGGACATTCTTCAAAAGCAATATGTTTTCAACACCACAAGAAGTAGTCACTTCCATACTCCACTGATTTGTGTCTTTATCTTGATCTTCAGGGAACGGGTCTCTAACAGGACTGTGAAACAGCCCATTCGGTGTGTACTCGTCGTCACTAATATCTGAGTCTATATCTTTAAGCTGTGTTTTCAATGTTTCGTTGATTTCTTCGTACTCCTTAAGTTTCTTCGGGTGTTTAGGCCTATACTTTCTTACTCCGCCCGTTGCCTGCATTTTAATCATTTTTAGCAACCTCGCTTCATTTGTGGCCAGTTCACACTCGTCTGAATCAACATTATTGATATCTTCTTCATCAGATGAGCTCACTATTAACATTTCAGTCTTCACTTTTCTTTTTCTTTTCTTCCTTTTCTTAACAGCCTTCTTAACAGTTTTCATAGTGTCCATTTCAGGTTCGTCAAAACTCAGGAAAGCAGCACCTGAAAAAAATAATTTTTCGTTTGATAGGATAGATTAACAGTCGATACAAATTATTCATGAGTTGAAAGTGAATACTAGAGGGTATGAGTAACATGACCACTCCCCTACTAAACCAAAATTCGAACAATTACATTTTACCCCTTTTAGGATTATTCATATGGTTATCCAGTTTTGAACAGTCTTGGAAAATGTATTTGCTTCATAACATCTATAAACTATTTTAAAAAGATCAAACTACCAAAAACACACACTGCTAAAACCTTTTGACCTTTAATGACCGAACTATACATTGTTTTAGTTTTACCTCATTCATTATATGAGCATCAAACTATTATTTTTTTTAACAAGTTTTTGGTGGACAAACAGTGAAGAGTAAGAAGTAGTTAATTGCTTGATTTGATGTGCAACTTACAAGGCATTTGTTTATTTTAGGCGGGTCTCTGCCACAGATAGACAAACTGAGTTACACACATCCTGGCCTAACTAGGATTCAAACTTTCACCCAATGATGCTATCTCCCGACCATAGATTATTTTAAACACACACTCGCTTAGTAGAATTCTCATCCTTATCAATCCAGCTGAAGACAATTTTAATGTTAGTTCCAACCGGTGCCTCCAGGCACATGTTTTTAATACAATTTGTTTCTTGTTATTTCAAGACTAGTTTGAACAAATAAAATGATCCTATCATAAACAATAGCTCATCATCTGGTTTTATACACAAAAAGTAAAGCAAATCATAACATTTTCCCTAAAATAAGAGAAACAAAATCATTGTCGACACTAGCATGATTGTACCACTGATGTGTCACCAACATGAACTAGAAATAGAAATACAAACAATCTTCAGATTTTACATGGGATGAGAAGTCTACTTGTGTTATTCTATGTCGGCCATAGATAGGACTTGTTTTTTTTACAGCATTAACAACACCGGTCAACCAAAAGCAAGCATAAGTACTGTAGACTCCCGACTATATAGGAGTGGATTAACCACACTGCAGATTAACCACGATCACATAAAAACCATGTATGTTATACAGTGACGACCAAAATGTTTAGCGTGAGGAAGCCCAGCATCTTAGAGGCAGACTATAGTCGCTCTTGTTTACTTCTCCGTCCACCGATGAGTCACTTCCCTCCCAACAGCACATTAGATTTAAGAAGTTACATTAGTCATGTGTTTTATTTTTTGTAATAAAAATAATTTGCCTTGGGGTATCAAATTTATTTTTTTGTGAATATACAGTATGTAAAACAAAGTTAAAAGATATGTACACTGGATGTTTAGTTATTTCATTTCATTCAATGTTGGAGTTAGTTATTTCCCGGGCATTATAGGTTAGGTTTGCATTACCTATGATTTTGACTGTCCATGGACACTCAGTCTCTCAATATCTTGTAGTACTTAGCCACTTATTAATAGATAGTCTACTGTAGTAATAAACTTCACTCTCAGGTTAAAACACATGTAAGGTTGGTTCTTCAGTATCCAATAGTCATTGGTTATACAGTAGAACCTCGATAACAAGTGTCTCAAGGGAATAGGGAAAATAATCATGTTATCGAGGTGCTATTCTTGTTGATCGTGTTATGAAGGTAATTTTGACCAGCAGTCGTGTCATCCAAGGTTACAAGGTTGGTAAAGACACAGTGTTTTTATAATGAGGCCTAATATATAGTACAGTACTATACTGTGTAACGAATTCAAATAGGTTATTAAATATACTGCAGACTAAGCGAATTTCCATTTGCCTGATTGGATTTACACTAAATTGTCTCCTTAAAAAATAAAAATATTACATTTATTCCCTATTTAAAAAAAATCAGTTTAACACATACTTAGGGCTGCAACAGGGAGGGTAAAAGTGTTTTTTTATGTAAAATGTTAATAATTAGTAAGAAATAAAAACATTTTCCAAATTTGGGCAAAATATGTTAATAAACAAGCAAACTACAACAGTTTACTTAGCCTATTCTCCATAAGAATAACATGAGAATTTTAAATTTACAATTTTTTGGAATTTTCTCCGTAACCATTAGGCGCATTATAATGCTTCAATATACTACATTATATGTTTTTTTAAGCTCTACAAAATTGTTTGGAAAGAAATTGCAAAATTTTATGTTTTTTGGGTCAAAAATGAGAAAACCCCATTTTTACCCCATAAAAGCCCCCATAAACCCCCGTTTCCATTGTCCGATCATGCTGGTTCGCAAACTCGTTCGAATAAACGTAGGTTTACACGTTTGTACCAAATTTCATCAAAATCCGATAATTTTTGCTCAAGTTATCGCGCTAACGGACACATATATATATGAATTTGAACGGATGGTGTTTTTGGCCTCTAGGGACCTCAAAACAAAAAAAAATCGGTCCCGGGTCCAGGTCTTACCATGAGTACTACGGTAATAGCTTATTCCCTATATGGGATATTCGCTAAAAATGTAAGTATAATCAAAAATATAACAGTTTAATTATTTGTGATGGTATGTTAACACAGTACATACATTACTATACAAAAAAGTAATTGATTTTTGTTTTTTGGACTCAGTCTTGTGGCTGTAGCCAAACAGCATTATCTGTACAAGAATTACGTTTGATGTAAACTAGAATAATGTTATACATCCAAAGCTACTGGTCTGTTAAAGATAAATAATGCTCTGAAAATTGGGAGCACCCATACCCCTACTCTTTTACTAGTCCTAGACCGAACTGACAAATTTCCTCAAAAACATCCATTCTGGTGAATTCCCGTGGGAGCTGTTTCATAGAGCTATGTAAATACCGTGTTATCAAGGCTGACTTCTCAAAATGACTTATCATAGAGGTTGTGAGTTCCCTCGTAATTTTTGAATGTATTAGGTATAGTTTAATTTAACATTGAGTATTATGGTTTTTCAAGGGGATTTGAAAAGTGAACTTGTAATCGAGGTTGTTGGTTCTGTAAATGAGTTTTTACTGCATAGAGAGTTGAGACTGTTTTTCTGGTCAAGAGAACCCTCTGTTACTTTGATCTTTGGACCATACAAAATTAGCATTTTAGATAATGATGATCTTTTTACAGTTTAAATAAAAATAATTTGTTAGCATTAAACAAAATAAAATTCATATTCTTACCTTTTCTTCTCAATCTTGCTGGGAGTTCTTTTTTCCTAGGTTTTACATTATCTTCTTTCTTTATAGCTCGTGCCCTCTTAGCATTCTCAATATCTGTTTTCTTTTTCTCTGCAATCCTAGCAAGTTCATCATTTTCTTCCTCTGAAATAGTTGAAGTATTCGTAATTCACTATCTCTCTCAGAAAATATATAAGTTGTGAAACAATCTTAAATCTGACAAACAGAGTATAGGACTTTTGGCAATTTGTAACTTTCTGGTTTTAATACCAGAGCACTCGCTGGACAAAATAAATGTAGAATATCAAAACCCTCTCTATGTAAACTCGTCAGAATCAAACTTAATTGTTGATTTCAGCTAATGATGATAAGTCTACAAGGGCGCAATCTTTGGTCTAACTATGAAAGGAGCGGTAATAACTGTATTCTTATAGAGGTTATCTGATTAAAAGATAAGGTATTTGCCAGGAATTGTTGAGCAAATTGACAGGAAAGCAGGCTTACCTTTAAATAAGTCCATAGAAACACATATAAACAACAGAAAAGTAGATTCCAAGAGAAATGGCAATGGTAGTTGCAATTTGAATCTGTTACACTTTGTCAGGCTTGCCAACACAGCTGAAGAAACTAAATATTTGTTTACTGTTTACATCCACACACAAAGATAGACATCACTTCGAAAACCACTTTTTTTGGTTCAGGGTGACTCACAACGGATATATCCACTCAAAGCTAAACTCAAAAATTTTGACAAAATCAATAGGCCTAGTTCAAGAAATTAGCTTGTTGGTGTCTTGAATTGATACTTAAAACTATAAAAGACATTAATTAAATAGGCTAACATTACTCACGCAATTCTTTCTGTAAACTGGCAAAATCAAAATCCGCAGGAGCAGTCATTGCTCTATCTATTAATTTCATATTTATTTTTTCTTCTTTCTTAAACTTCAATTTCAAATCATGCCTGGTACGATTGGGAAACAGTTTGGTCATCAGTGAAAAATCAGAACCAATGGTATTGAGAGCCTTGTAGAATTGCAGTGTTTCTGTAAAAAAAACAAATGTACTTAAATAATGTTCCTAAAGATTGTACAAAATCAATTTCAGGATAAATTAATTATAAGCTTGACTATTTATTTTATTGTGTCGTTATTATCTTGATTATCAAGAGGTTAAAAATAATAACCTTCATACCTAAAGCCGTCCAATCCTTTCTAATGTGCTTCTTCTTGCTATAAGTATTGTAACGAGTTATTCCAGTTTCTCTAACGATTCCCGATTTTTCCATTACAGCCCTCTTTTCTTTGACTTCTGTTGTCTCTATTACCTGAAAATGAAAATGGAAAGGTTCATTACTTGACAAAAAGGGACATTTTTTATGCTCTATGAGAAGCCTCCACGTATTACATTTTAAAACTTCCTGCTCTCAACATTGTGAATGTACTCTGAAACTGTAATTACTCCCTTTTAGCGAATTTCCCTATAGGGAAGTAGCTATTACCGTAGGTGGCATGGTAAGACCTAGGCCAATTTACTTTTTATTTTGATGTCCCCAGAGGCCAAAAACACCATTCGTTCAAATTTTTATATATGCATAGCGTTCCGGTGTTTGAATGTGTCTGTGAACGCGATAACTTGAGTATTTTTGTCCGATTTTGATGAAATTTGGTTTAAAGGTGTAAAGCGGCATAAACTTGAATAAGTTCGCAAACCAGCATGATCGGACCATGGGAACGGGGCTTTACGGGGTGTTTTATGGGGTAAAAATTGATTTTTCTCGTTTTTGATCCTCAAAACACAAAATTCCCCAATTTCTCTTTAGACCTTTTTAAAGAGCTTAAAAAACAAATAATTTAGTATATAAATGTACTTTTGTTCGCTTATTGGTAACAGAGAAAATAAAATAAATTATAAATTTAAAATTCCCATGTTATTCTTATAGAGAATTTTGTAAAATGTTGTTGTTTGCTTGTTTGTGTAGATATAATTTGATCAACCTTTGCAAATTTATTTATTTTATACTAGACTATCAATATTTTACTAAAAAAACACACTTTATTAGTTCCCTTGTAGCAGCAAACGTAGGTACTCGTTAAACCTAATGTTATTTAAATATATTTAATTGAAAATCAATTCAGACGAATGGAAATTCGCTTAATCGGCAGGTTTGCTGCGGCGGGGGTATATTTCTTCTTGTTAGTGTCTGGAGATAAATATTTTTTAAATGGTTTAATTTACCTATCCGTCAGTGATCCTTATGTTGTCTATAGCGACCAAGTTTCAGATTTGAATCTCATCATCATGCTAATTTAAGTTAATTGAGTGATGCACATTTTAAATTAGCCTAAGGATCACATTTTAATCTCAAAACCAGGGGCCATGGACGACAATAGGATCACTGAGGAACAGGTAAATTAAATACAATTTTATTCACCAGTGATCCAGGGCTACTAAGCACTATTAAATATTTTTTACAAGATCTAATTATTGATTTTAGAGGAGAGAAACGTGTCTTTTCACACACATGTGCCCAGCCTAATAGTGATATTCCTACTAAGCAGACTTCCCACTGAAAAAAACCAACATAGTTGGACAGGGACCTGAAATTGTGTTAGTCCTTCAGGTCAGGCCAACATTAGGAATCCAGGTCTGCTGGTCTCTGATACCAGTCAGGTAGGGGCAACAGTTGGAAACAATCACTATACGGAAGGGTTATTTATGTTAGAGGTGTACGAACGACTAGATTTCCAACTCTAGCTGAGTCAAGGTTTCATTTTTGCAATTGAAGAAACAGTCTACTTAGATGTGCGATAGAAAATTGACAAGTTCACTGAGATGGTTTTGCCACGAGTACAATGAAGATGTCTCCACACTCATACGTACCAAGCTCCGAGGGTCAAGCATGATTTGTCCGTCCGGGCCAACTTTCAGCTGAGGTACTGGAACTGCAGGTGTTGTAGGTTCCTCTTCTACATCGTCCACCTTCTCCTCCTCTACAGCTTCTGCCACCATCCTGCAAATAAATGTATGGCAAAAAAACAAATCAGTCAGCATTATATTCAACAATAGGCCTATATAAATTCTTACAACTTCTTTATTGCATTAACATTTAGTTTAATTTGACAAAAAGGGTCAGTTTTATTTGGCTTTTAATTTTCTTTCCCTTCCTCTTGTAAGTTTTTTGGAACAGTTATTTTAATTTGGTGTTTGATGTCAATGGTGAATTAGAGCGGAATTGCATAGCGTAGTATATTATAGTCTTCTTGTTAGAAATAGATAATAATTAAAATGTTGGCAATTATTCTGCGATTGGAATTTAATTGTTCTAACACTTCATTATCATGTTTCCTCACGAACACACACAGTAAGGCTAAGCAAAATGCATGATTTAATGTGCAACACACACAGATAATCCACCTTAAATAGCTTTAAACTTAGTCAACTTGACACCAACGTCTACCAGAACAGATAAACTCAGACTTGATTGAACCTTCAATCTATGGTGCTGTCCCTGCTCATTGATCAGACTCTAACTATCTAATACACAAAAACAATGATCAACCTGATAGTTGCAAGAGGAGGTTTGGGTAATTTATGACTCGCATCCGATATGTCAGCCTTGGAAGTTAAAAGAGATAAATGAAGGAATAATTTGGAGAAATAGCCTCTGGATCGTTATTAATCATTGTTATAATCTAAGGCTTACCTTACGATCCAATTGATTTATTGTGGTGACCTAGGTTTCTACGCCGGAGCGTTTTATCGTCAGTCCTAGGCTAAGCTAAACTTTTTGTGTTTCATCTCTTACTTGAGATATTGTCGGTTGAATAGAATTTTTATAAAAATAAACACTGAATATACATAAATATTTACAAAGACATAGTGGAGAAGTTAGATCATGGCCATGCATCTAACTTCTCCACTATGTCTGTTTATATTTGTAAAAATTCTATTCAACCGACAATATCTCAAGTAAGAGATGAAACACAAAAAGTTTAGCTTAGCCTAGGACTGACGATAACGCTCCGGCGTAGAAACCTAGGTCTCCACAATAAATCAATTGGATCGTAAGGTAAGCCTTAGATTATAACAATGAAGGAATAATGTATGAAACCTTAACAATACTATAGGGATGGTCAAGTCTCGAAATTTCGGAAAATTTTTGGGAAATTTTCAATCTCGTTACACGAGACGAGATTACTTTTTGGCCGAGATTTTTATCGAGACGAGAATAAAAAAAAAAAAAAAAAAAAAAATTAAAAACGTTTGCAGAAAGTCAATGCAATACTCGCAATACAGGAGCGTGTTGTAGTTGCGTTTCCTTTTCGAAGGCGTTCTTATTTAATTAATTCTTTTAATGTAAATATTACTTTAATTCTTTTAATGTAAATATTACTTTAATTATTTGAATAATATTACTTTAATAACATTTGAGAAGTTTTGTTAAGTGTAAGCAGTGTGAGGAATGTTATATTACTATAAAAAAAGTCAAAACAAGTAACTATTTTATAAAAATTAATATTGCTTTTATTTTATTTTAGGATAAGTTGAACTCTATCCTAACTGATATCACCATGTTTCCTAATCGTAGGCATTTTTAATAAGTTAGGCGTGATTAATAAGAAAATGTTATGCTGATGTTATTTAATGAAAGATTGTAAATATTCTTGCCTATTATCATTATTTTAGTATTTAAACAGTCATCTAACAATGTTACAAAATCAGGTAAAAATTTCGAACGTGCATTTCCCGTTGTGTATGAGAAGAGAAATCTCGTCTCGAAATTTTATGAGAAATAAAAAATCTCGTCTCGTCTCGAACTAAAAATCCAATCTCGTCCATCCCTAGAATACTAGCACAACAAACTGATGTAAAATTAATGGGGACTTTTTTTAATACTCACAAATTCATTTCTACTTTATCTTCTTTTTTTCGGCCCTTTGTTTGTTCAGTGCTCCTAGAAATGTTGAAAGAGTTTTGATAGAAACCATTTATGCAATTAATTCTAGTTCATTTGTAGATATATTTTCCATCTCTACAAGAACAAACACAACTAAAGCGTAACAACACATCAGATTAAAATTGTACAAACACTTAACTAACATTCAAAACAAATATCCCCACTAGTTCTAATTTTAAGATAAAAGCAATGCAATGCTTGGTGACAAGAATCCTAGTTGGAATCGTTAAGCCAAATTAGCATGGCATAAATACAGAAAATCAATTACACTTTAGTTTACAACACAAAAACTGTTAGCCATCTGAGATGTTTCATTCCATCTACATAAATTATAATTTTATCTTCATAATACTGATAAGAAATGCAGTGGCATTTAAAATATAGGCCTATAAAGGATACTGTAGTTAGCATCTGGAAGATGTGTATACAGTATTAATAAATCGTTATTGTATAAATTAGCATTTTTCTTAGTTACCTAAGAACATTAAATGCTCTGTTTGGAAAAAAATTTAAAAAATATATATCCATTAAAGATTAGAATAAATTCATATACAAACATTATATTTGTTACATTACCTTTTATGGTTTGAAATTAACCATAAAACGTTGTAGTATTGATGAAAGTTTCAATATTTTTCTTTTTATGTTCATAGTAAAGTAAAGTATTAGTATTAAAAGGTTTATGTCATAAATAATGTGTAGTTCCTGTTCTCTAGAAAGTTAAATATTGAACTCCTATATATAGTGGTTTAAATTACCTTGTTACTGTTTTTTAACTCCTTTTGTGTTTTAAAAGTGACTGATAATTTAAAGGCTTGTTTTGGCAAAATAAACTTTAAACTAAAGCAAGTTCTCAACATCTCTAAGGTAACTTTCTTAGCTAATGCGATTAGCCTGGGATACAGGTGTTTGGGGTTGTTCCATTTTGTGACAAGGGGACGATTTGTAATAGCAAGATGTACCATACTTTTTTTTACTAAGCTTCCCTGGTCAGGAGAGAAGTTTTCTTCAAGGATACTCCCAGTCCCAAAGAACCACTCTCATAAGCAAACAAGTGATAGGTAAAAAGTGACCTCTGATGATCCCCTAGATAAAATATTAAAAATTGAGTTTTTTTTACTTTCATAGTAAAGTCCTAAACAATGAACTTTACACCTTAAGAACTAGGCCAATGTAATACAAACTAATAAATTCAGAGAAATTCACATGACTTACACAGACATAGGATTGGATTTTGGGTTATAAAATATCAAGTCCAACATAGTCAACTTGGCTTTGTCTGGAGGATCCACCAAAGTTTCAGGCTTTCCAAACTTCTCATTGAATTTTATCAGTGCTTCTTGGCCTAATTTTGAATAAGTTGAACCTTGGGACAGCTTACGTTTGCTAAAACAAAGTTTACAGTGAGAACAGTAGGCTTTTACAAACAAATACAGCCATATCAAAACCAAGAGGTTTCTCTTTCAATTTGATCATAAAAATTGGATAAATTTAATTAGGTACAAATAAAATTAAGATTCAATTATCAATTATTTAAGATGGGGACGCCACTATGTGCGTATTTTAACCCAAATATGAGTGAAGGATGAGTGTAGGATTATGTAAAGAAGACAGTGGCGTAACAGAAGGGCCCGCAGGGCCCGCGATGCGGGGGGGCCCGGGAGCTGAGGGGGCCCGCGAACCGGTGAGCGGGAAACGGTGAGCGGAGAGGCCCGTGAGACGAGTGGGGCCGAAAAATTGGAGTTCATTCATTCAATAATTGTATTGAACAAGTAATAACATTGATGTTATTAATAATATGTTGTTATCAGTTATCGTTTAATTTCGTTAGGCCTCTTCAGTGATAACGAACTAGGCCTAGGGTAACAAATTTATCATGTTATATTATAACGTGGGTCTTTGATTATTATGCAATCTTACTTTCGTCACCGAGAAATATTTTACTTCTCGGTGATTTCGTGCACTACTTATGTCGTCTGCAATCATTTTGTTACTTTGGAGCCTGGAGTCATGAACGTTGGCTGGGGCATTTAATATTGTATTATTTTACATTTTATCTTTGTCCTAATATTGATTGTGTTTTGTTAAATACAATATACTGCTACTCTACTGACTGTGTTTGTTAGCCCCACAATTAACCATTACTAAAGACATTAGTTGTAAGATAAACGCTTACAACATAATAAGACGCTTGAAATCCATACAAAGATACGGTAAAATAAAAAATGCAATAGGCTATTTTAGCCTGTGATTATAGTACCTCAATCTATTAAACTAACCAGCTTTTAGTGTATGAGTTAATTATAACCAAAGAGTTACACTAACCTAATAAATTAATACTTTCTCATCCTTCAGTCATATTTGGGTTTAAATACGCACATATTGGCGTCCCCATCTTAAATAATTGATTGATTGACTTTAATAATTTACTTTGAAATGGCGACCATAACAATGTAGGTATTTTAAGCCAAGAATTAATGGAGATGAGTAGCCCAACCTTTTAGTGTTGAAAGGGACTAAGGCCGACATATTCCTTAGACATTAGACACAGATGTTAATTAATTAGCTAATACAGCAAAAGGCAACTAAGGGGCTTAAGGTGGTTAATAGGGGAATTCGAACCACATTTTGCCTTGTAATTAACGAATTAGTCTAATTATCAGGGAAATAAAAATGGATAACATGTGTGATAAATTAAATGTAAAGTTTTTAACCTCCTTGATATAAACATTCTGATAGACGGATGGAAAATAAGGGGTTTTTATTTGATTTCAAAACTATTTACAAACACTAAAACTGATATAATGATGTAGTGGTGTAACACTTCCATCAAACCACGACTGAAAATACTCAACACATACCCTTTTATGGAACATATCTCACAATTTAATATTTTAATTTAATATTTTTTTTCATAATTTATTTACCACTCATTTTATGATTAATCTGCTTGATCATTGTATAGGTGGTCCACAAAATACTCTGGTGGGAGGGGGAGGGCGTTTGATTATGTTGTATTGGTGGTCTAAAAATAACTCATGAGTGGGGGGGGGGCCAAAAAATAAGTTTGCAGGGGGGCCCGTAAAAATTTGTTACGCCACTGAAAGAAGATAATATTTTATTTGCTCAAATGGAGCAACCAACATACCGTACTCTAGTCTCGAAGTCCATTGCATCCATGAGACCTACCAATGGTAATAGCCTATTCCCTATATGGGATCAATTCGCTATAGGGGGTAAAACTTACGTGCTTTTTGCATCCTTATCTCTTTTGGTTCTTTTTCCCAGTTTAGCATGGTTCAGCAGAAATAAATTTTTCTTGGTATCATCTTCTGAATCACTACCTTGAAAACTAATTCTTCTCACTCCTGGATCCAGAAGATTAGGGCTAGGTTTGGGTACTAATACCTTTGATGACAATTTCAGTGGTGATATAGGAACTTTGGTAGGTGACGAAACTTGGTCAGTTCTATTTGTCTCATCGGAGTTGCTTTTATTTAAAGTTTGGTCTACTTGATTTTGGTTAGGTTGATCCGGTCTTGAAAGTAAATCTGAACTCGATGGTTGTTGCTCTTGATCGGAATTTATAAAAGGTTCTCTTGTAGTTGTTTTGGACTTTGCAACACTAGGTCCACAAAACCGAAAAGTGTTAGGACAGAATTCTTTTTCTTTGGTTTGTGATTGATTTTCAGAACTTTCACTTTCATCTGATTCCAAAGAGGCAAAGCTAGCAGTTATTTCTGAGACTATATTTACATTCTTAGTTTCTGACTCAACAGATTTTATGACAGACGTTCGAATGATAGCAACTGGATAAACATTTGATTTCACATTTTTGTCAGTATCAGGATCGAGGTTCAACTCATTTTTCTTCCTAGAACCATTATTCAAGACTGGTTTAAATTTGGATCGCCCAAAACGTGGTGCACCCTTTGTTACTTTTTTGTTCACGGATTTTGAATCAGCATCACATTCTTCTACGAAGTTAGGCGTCAAAAAACCAGCTTCACTGCTTGGCTCATTGCTGGCCGAATTTTTAGATGGATCTACCAACTTACTAGGCCTACTACACACACTAAGATTTATAACTGACTCTGAACTACCTTGTTTTCCTATATTTACTCTTGCAGTTTGCTCTATTGGTAAATTGAGAGCAGTACAAATGTCACTATTAACAGCACTTGCACTTTCTTGTGATGTTTCATTTACATAATTTTTAACAACATTTGACTCCGCTGTTGAGGTATTTGAATCGGGTAGGCCTGACTTTTCACTTCCTACATCTGTTACAGTCAATATGTTTTCACAGTGTTCCAATTTATTTCGTTTTGCAACATTTCCCTCGTCACTTGCATTCTCTGGAGGGTTGTTGGATTCAAGATTTGAAGTACCGGTAACATTTGCATTGGTAGGTTCCTGGATAGTTGGTTGTTGTGACAGCTCTGGTACATCGTCTTTTTCTCTTGGTCTTCTCAAAGCTCCCCCAACAACCGGCTTTGGTTTAAATTTCAGCTTACGAGCAGCCATTTTTCTGAAAAATAGACTTGGATTTAGTAGGCCTACATATAGACCTATTTCTTAGGATAAAAAAAACTCCCCTGCTGCAGCAAACCTGCAGATTAAGCAAATTTCCATTTAAACCCAGTTGGATTTTTAATTTATTTTATTAATTGTGAAGATTTAGCTTATAACGTAACTTAGGCTACCTCTTGAAATAACATTAAGCTTAATGAGTAATTAGGCTCACTACTACAGGGAAGGTAAAAATGTGTGCTATTATTGAATTTGTATTATATTTAGCTTGTTATTTATCTAGTATTTATTTATTGAAACAATTTACAATAACTAGCCTACAGGTATAAAACCCAAAACAGCTATAATGCAAAATAATACAGTATTAACACATAAAAGTCAAGAATTAAAAAGTACAAAATGTGCTCATAAAAAGAACAATATACAATACAAACTGTAATATATTATCTTTAGCAATACGCTAAACCCTTACGTTCAGTGGCTATGCTACGATGAGTTCGGCCTATAAGGTATCGTTGTCCGTCTTTTTCCCGAAAAGTGCTATGGAACGATATAGACCTAGGCCTATCCTTGTTTGGGTTTCATCCGAATAAGTTTAATGCTAACTTAAGCAACGATATATCATGCCGGCATAACTTTAGTGTTTACGTTAACCCTCCGAGTGTCCATAGTTTAGGCCTTAATGTCCACCTATTTTTGGCCCCTTTGCAAGGTTTTATTAAAACGGATCTGAGAAGCTTAAAACAATGTTAATTCTAATGTTCTATATACCATTTTGTTTGGAAAATCATGGGCTTCAATATTATATATAAAACATAAGGAACATTTTTTCAAAAAAAAAATTTTTAGGTAAAAAAAAAATATAATTTTCAAAATTTTCAAAAAAAAAATAAGTTCGCGCTCAATGAAATTGTATAAATTATAGGCCTATAAATATTTGAAAATAGCCACTTTGTTCTAAATTTAATGAGGATTACAAATATATAATCATATAGCGAGGTAAGTTATCAAATAAATAAGTTATGAGCGAAACACGGATTTCAGTACATAGCGTTTAGCTAAGAATGCATAGCCTAACCATAGCTAGGAATCTGGCTGATAATTTACATCAATATCACTACCTACTTCTTCAGGATCATCAACCAGCACTTCAAAACCACTTAAATCTTCTTATAATGCACCACGTATATCACTACTTTTGATTTTTAACACTAAAACAATGATAAACGTAATAAAACACATCAGTCATCGGTCCGGGGGAACCTAGCTGTTTACAAATACACGCACGTCAGCTGTCTGCTACAATATTTTCGGAACTAAAATGAATAGCGCTTAGAGACAGACCTCTGGAGAAAGCTTAGAATATTACGGAAAGAACGATACCTAACTCGATCCAGTTCAATCCGATTCAGTCAGTCATAGAGCCTTCGCCGTAAACGATGTTTGTGCGTCATAAAAGTGACGCGTGACCCTACACAAAGTGTGTTGTGCGTCATTTTTATGACGCGTGACACTCGGAGGGTTAAATGGGCATAAGCCTAGCCTATATCGGTTCACTCGGTAGTTGTTTCGAAACAGCAATGGTTTCTTTCAATTCCTCATACTATCAAATCTTAGGTGGAATCGAACATAGGCTATCGTTCCTTAGCACTTTTGAGAGTAGCCTAGGTACTTACCTACAAATTTTATTTTTACCGATATTTTTGCTCGCACACTAGACATTGCCCCAGTGGCAAGCCTAGCACTTTTCAGACAAAATAAGTACAAAATAACTACTGTAAATAACTCTGTTAACATTTTTCAGAAAATTACAAAACAAATTCTAGCATTGAAAGGGTTAAGCAAAGTATAAGTTAGGCCTATAAACATTTTGGATTTTAAAGAATAGGTTGGGATAGTTGTACAGTACATTTTTAGTTTCTGTTCGAACAGTCCTAAACTTAGGCCTACTTAAAGAGTTGTGAAATGCTAGATAGAGTAAGTTACAGACCCAAGGCCGGCCAATAATTTAAATTAGCCTACGCAGTTTAAATTACGAAACTTTGCCGCGTTCAAACCACTCACCTGCCCAATGTTGTTGATGTATTAAATCCTTCATTCAGAGTCTTTTCTTACCTAAAAAAAGAAATGCAGGGTAAACAAAAATGGAAATCTAATGAATGGCTAGCAGAACATAACCTCTACTCTAAGAATTCCGTAAAGTTACGTAGCGTAACGTAACGTAACGTAACGACGTAACCTTGAATCCTCCCCTCACCTTCTTTTCGTCCAATCACATGGCCACTTCCCACTCCAGTCCAGCCCTAAACTCCAATAATAACCTCTCACTCTCATTGTGCTCTCATTACGAACAAGTGTGTTTACTTAAACGATGCTTAATGCTTGCTAGCATTGATTATGTTATACCTACCAAGGACTATACAAAGTTTGTAATTGTTATACATTGGAAGAGCAAATTTCTTTACATTCTTCGTGTAAAGATGTAAACGAGGGTCACACGCCTACTTTCCGGCGCCCCGGCATGAGAGGTACGATCCCCGATATCTCCTTCTCGACGGAATCACTACTAGTGTGAATCTCCAACTGGAGAATCATCGAAGACCTCACGGCAAGCAATCATCGTACATCGCTTTTGATATACTGGATGACTATCACTATCCCACCATTGAACTCCGTAATCAAGCACCCGTATCTCGATCTAGACCACGCTGTTGGAATACGGACAATCTGGACGTTGGGAAGTTCACTGATGTCTCACGGGGAGCGCTGGTGAATCCTGCTGCACCTGTTGACGCCGAGGCATTGGTACCGTCCACGATGGAACTAATTGTCTCGGCTCACGGCTCGTGACCAGGCCATGCCACGCAGGGGACGCCGTCGCGATAAGCAAGCTGTGTACTTGTAAACCTTAGAGATCTCAAACCTCCGGAAATCTTGTCTGAATGCCAGACATGCCGCTATGAGTGCCAGGAGATTCCCGAATTTTGAGGCTAAGTCCACGGCTTATAGGGCTGCGAGGAAAGCTCTCAATCGGGCCATCAACAAGAGCAAGGTTAGCTGTTAGGTAGGCAAAGTTCTTGAGTTATGTGACAAAATTCTATCTCCATAAAAAAAAATATAAAAAAATTAAACATATTGGCGACAACGGGTACCATGCAGGCTACATTATCAATGACGAATATAATCGGACAACCTAATGCTAGTGTACGAGTAGAAAAAATTGTAGAAAACAATAATAATAATAGGTTAAATGCCTTATTTACGTCTTCAATCCAAGTAGTCTTTTTATGATTACTATAGTTTCGGGGCTAACAGCTCCATTGTCAAATCTTCTTGTCGGGTTAAATTACTGTTAATAGCATTGGTCATTGTTGAAGTTCACATATAGACATATATGCGAGGTGCTATGTGCTGTTGAGTATGCATGAAAAGAGTCAGGGATTTTGACTTTTGATTTTATTAATGGGGGCCTAGGTGAGTGTAAAAACCCATGTCGTAGTCTCCAGGGGTTAAGGTTTCAAGTCACTATCACGTTTCTAATGGTTAAGAAACTAACACCGAAGTAAGTCACTTTGAAGCTTATTCCCCATAATAACATGGGAAACTGTTATAGTCTCGTAACAGTGTTAGAATTTTTCAAATTTTAACATTAATCTTACATTTTAGATATATTTCAAAGGAAATAAGCTACGAAAAAACATGTAATGAGTAAAATCTATCTATCTATATATTAATAGGCAAGCATGTTTCTTTAAAACCTTTTTTCTCAGCTTGTGTGCATCGTGGGGTAAATCTGCGCATACCGTTAGAAAGCAATTTTCCTGTAGGTGTGCAGAATCCCTTTATAAACTTAAATAGGCTCAAAGATAAGCACAAAAAATGAGATTGAAAATTTGAAAAAATTAACATGGATTTTATGCGTTGCCATGCTGGTGACGAAATAACAACGAAATATAAACAGAAAATCAAAACAAATGGAAGAAACTCCAATCACATGTTTTATTTACAGTGTGGGGTGAAAATAGAGAAGTGAGTACATTACATATTTTTGGTCGAGTTTCGACCACTGGACGACCTCTCGTACTTATTTAATACGCAAGCAGGATTTTTGTGACAATTACTCCTCCGAAACTACTGAACCGATTGACATGTTTTTGGTGTCATTGGAAATAGCGTAACGTGAAGTTGTGCAGGAAACTTTCTTTTTAGGAAAATAATTTGAGAGTAAGGCCCTGGGGCCCTTTAAAGTTTCGTATTTCTCCATAAGTTTAACATGGGAAACACACATTGTTATGAAACTCCAGCTGTTGTCGGAAATTAAAAGTGAGAAGAACACATGTTGATTGTAAAATTCTGACAGAGAGGTTATGCAGAAAATCAAGTAGTTAATGGTTATTTGGTGCTATTAAAAATACTGAAATTTGTAAACGTACGGCGACAATGGGTGATACCATGCAGACTTCATTATCATTGACAAAGACCAACATAAACAACCTATTGCGGCTATAAGTGGGAAAGACTTCTACAATACCCTCTGGCTTTTGAAAAATGATAAAATATTTACAAGAATTGTTGATTATATTGAACTGTTAAGTACATTGTGAGTATTATCATTAGTTACGTAATCTTTGAGTTGCTTTTAAACCCATCGGAGAATTTATCACTTATATTTGTTCTTGAATAATTTATTTGTTTTTAAATAACTCCTTTAATTCTTTGCAATTGCTCGATTTCGAGCAACATGTACACTAGTTTAAAATAAACTAAGGAGAGTACAAAGCATTAATAATAATAACAAACTGATTAGTTAGGAAAAAGTAGTGAGACTACCGGTAATAAAAAGTTGAACAAAATTTTCCAATTTTTGAAAGTATGGCGGTTTTTTTAGGGGTGAAGGGGTGTGATATTCGGAAAACGCTAATTAGGGTTTTGTAGAAAATTTAATTCCTGCCCATGAATTTTTTTTTTAAATCTTTTCTAGCTCTTACCGTTTTTTAGTTATAGCCGTTTTAAAAACCGTGTTTTCGTTTTTGGATGTCCGCCATTTTGGATTTTTAGGTGGGTAAAAATTTAAAAATGGTAATTTTGGGAAGTTTACCGTAATTTAGGATCCCATACTACAATACTACCAAATTTCAAGTCTCTAGCACGTTTCTAAACGAATCAGATGGGCATACCAAAGTCTTTCAATTTCATAGTTATTCTCCATAAGAATAACATGGGGCTCGTAAAAGTGGTAAAACCCTTTCAAATTTTGACTTTAAACTTGAGTTTTGGGGGTCAAGGAGAAAAGTTACGAAAAAAACATGTACAGAGTTGAATTTATAGTAAACTAAGCTAAATAAAAAGCATTTATAATATTTGCACAACAAATTCTTAGGTAGAAAAAATCAGCGAAATTAATAATATATTTTATGAAACTGTACTTCAGAATTTCTCTGGGGTTTTGGGCCCAAGACAAAGAAGCGTGTCAAATGTCAACTCCCTAGCACCTCTAGAAGTGCTCAAAAAGTTTGTATACCTTAGTCAGTTACATAAAATGCGGGTGTATAGTACAGTATGCACATGCAACTTTGCGCCCCCCACCCTAAGTTGTCGACCACCCCTGGAGGCGACGACATGGATTTATACACTCTCCTAGGCATCCATTACCAAAATCAAAAGTCAATTTAAATGAATCTTTTAGGTACTCACGTTCAGTAACAAGGGAGTTAAAAGTGGTTTGCCGATTAACGTTTTTCGCAACTTTGCGCCCCCACCCCTAAGTTGTCTACTAACCCTGGAGGAGACGACATGGGTATTTACACTCACCTAGGCCCCCATTACTAAATTCAAAAGTCAATTTAAATATCTCTTTTACTTACGTTCAATAACAAGGGAGTTAAACGCGGATTGACCCCACCCTTAAGTTGTCGACCACCCCTGGAGGTGACGACATTGGTTTTTACACTCACCTAGGCCCCCATTGCCAAAATCAAAATTCAAAATCTCTGACTCTTTTTTATACATACTCAATTGCACCTAGCGCCTGTACTAATACACTCACACGCGAAACATTTATACAGTATATGCAAGATTAAAAATTAATATTATGGCCGGCCTAAACAAAAGTGACTATCGACGGACCGGTACACTGACTGACTGTAGAAAACACTAAAAACAAGATCAGCTTATGAAAGATGCTAAAATATCTACAAGAAATATTGATCAGGTTCAAACTGGTATGGTATAATACTTTCATTAGTTAAATAATCTTTTAGTTGGCTCTTTTAAACTTATCGGAAATTACTGAATGAGTGTTATTCGTTTTCAAAACACTCCTGTAATGTACTTTGTAATTGCTCGAATCCGAGCAACATGTACACTAAGTCAGTTATAAATTATACTACAATTAGGCCTATTTATCACTCACATGATCACAAAACTATTCAAATGTCTGCACAGAAAATTTCAAAGAAATGCGGACATATTCTGCAATTTACCCTAGAACAACTTAGCGCATTATCCAAAGTCACACATTTGTAACAATCGCACTTCACCGTGTGCGTGTGTGTGTGTGTGTGCGTGCGCTAGTACATTGTTGTGGTCCGCTGTCATGAGTGGAGAGGGGGCAACAATTGACTTTGACTATCTCTCTCGCTCACCTATCCTGCGACTGCGAGTCACCGAATCAGTTCGGTGCGCGCTCTCTCCGAGTCAGGTTGTCTACCGTTGGTTTGTTTGTTTTCATTCGTAGATCTCGAAACATCGGGATGACGCTTGACAGCACAAGGCGGTGGAAAATCCTCTTCGAGGTGCTCATTGTTTGTTCAGGTAAAAGAGGATGACATGTTTGAAAATAGCTTTCGAAACGAAGTTACTATTTTGTTTTAATTTATTGGTTTCGGATTCATAAAAATCTAGTTGCTATTAGGTGTAGTGCGCTAAAACGAAAACAATTAAAAATGTATGCAGTGATTACAACAGCTGGGTCAGTGGCTGTTTAAAAATGCAAACAAATGAGACGTTTTAAATCCCATGTGTAGTGGATAATATTTTACGTTTGATATCAAAGGTCAGGCTGTACCTATATAATTTTCTGTTGACTGTTAAAAAATCATGACGTCAAGTGTTTTCACGTATTTCAATCTTACTAGTTACTTCTGATAAACTAAAACGTTGCTTTATAAATTTAAAAATATTGTAATTCATTATTGCAGTAACATTAAATCGTACTCTAAACTAAGAGTATGGGTATATTTACTACCACTATGGCGAAATTCGAAGTACCCGGCAACAATTGATAAATTAAAGTTTCTCGTGACAATACCCACGTTAGTGTCAATTAGTTATGATAATAGTGCTACTTAAATAAATACACGAATGCAGAAAACGTTTGGCGTAAGAAATATAAATTTAAAGAAAAATCATTGCAGTTTTAAACAGTTATTATAAAAACGGATATGTTAATACAATAACTTAAATAATAAGTTTTAATACATTTAAATTCTTCAAAGTTCCACTTTCACCAATTTGATTTATTTTGCATTAAATAACTCCCTTACACTAAGTTGTGTTGTTGTATTAATAGGTTATACCTTTTACTATTGCTACAACCAATATTCAATGCCAATACTATGTTTTAAAATTAAATTTGTCTGTACTGTTATTTGATGCATACTAAGAAATATATATCAGCGCCTAATCTACATACCACCAACGAATGCGCGACCATAATTCAGCGATTTGTATTGCTAGTGCTCAGCCACTGAAATGTAATATTAGACAGAGAGAGAATGAGCGAGAGAGAGCACTAACACGCCGAGCATGGCATGCTTATAGTGTATGGCATTAACTACAACAGCTGGAGAGCATTGCTCATTGGAGTTTAGATTTTACTTCTAAAAAGTTATGAGTAGGCATGCATTTTTCATTACTTTTTGAGTTTTTACTTGTGATCTACTTCGGATCTATTAGCAAGTCCCAAAGCTGCTGCAAAAACAGCTAGTATTGCCTATAACTAGTCGGATTCCTATAATCAATGTGTTGAACTAGTAAACTTACTTAATTAAACAAAATATTCTATTTTCCAGCAGTGTAAGGCAAAAAGCATTAAAAAGTCATTCTATACAAATATATTATTGTGATTCTTATATTGTTTCCACTACTATGTCTGAATTCTTGACAGATCAGGGGTCAGAGCCCTGTGACATTTGAAGGTCACGAATAAGCCAGTAACATCTCGTACATATATAAGAATAGGGTGGTGTATTGGTGTTTCAGTTGTATTTTATCAACACCACTCCACTAGAAGATTTAATGATTTTGTATGAAACTTTCGAAATAGTTTGTTAAGTCTTTTGCAAACTCATAATTCACATGTTTAATATGGCCCACGTCTTACTTCAATTATCAATTATTTAAGATGGGGACGCCATTATGTGCGTATTTTAACCCAAATATGAGTGAAGGATGAGTGTAGGATGAGTGGCACGATCTTGTAGTCTTGTTAGTGACTAAGGCCGGCATGATCCTTAGAAACATCTCTTAATTAATAGCCCATACAGCCAATTGCAACTACGGTACCTACAGTTTGTAGTGGAAACCGAACCACATTTTTTCCTTGTAATTAATTAATTAGACTAATTATCAGGATATTACTGTGGATAGTCGTAGTAATCACTAGTGCGGACGTTAATCCACACCAGGGAGCATCGCATCCACGGTGCATGCATATAAATATCCACAATCCGCGACCTCCTAGTAGCTGGATTACAGGACAACGCTACCGCTCTACTACACAATACACAACTCGTGCCTCAGAACTTACTTATTACAAAGTCTTTAAATATCCACTTAAGCTAACCAGCGTTACTTAAAACATTCTACAATTGACGAATGAATGACAACATAAATAATATATTTCGAAATTTCTCGAGCAGAAATCCTTGTTTAAAACTATTTAAATTTTAATACGTAATTATTTGGGTCGTATAGTGTATTATAGTGCTATTTAAAACGTTGAAATACTAAAAACATATTGTTATAAAGTGTCGGCGCGGCGTTAGAATAGAAGTAATCATCTAATCTCAAGTGGTTCTATATCCTCGGAGGGTTATCTACAAAACTGGATTCCAATTTCGAGAGAGACGAGAGGAATCTAAAGTAACAATAAGGCCGAAGACACCGATAGGAGGTCAATTAATTTTGGTTTGTGTGAGAGGAAATCCATGTTGACTACCTGGATGGGTTTAACATGTAGAGTAGCTTGTCGTTCAACAATATACTGTAGTTCATCTCTACACCTGCCTATTGTTGTGTTGCTCAACAATACCATATTCAATGGCAATACCAAACTCAGCATTTTAATATATATACGAAACCCAATAGTCACTTTAATATTGTATGGTATACTCATCTCTTGTAAATAATACAATTCAACAATGTTAATTAATGTGTACCATTAAACCCATCTTACTAATATTGTAAATGTGAAAGTTTGTGTGTTTGTTTGTTTATTTGTTTGTTTGTTTGTTTGTTTGTTTGAAGTTCAATCACGCATTAACTACTTGACGGATTGGCCTGAAATTTGGTATAATGATAGCTTACATTCCCGATTAACATATAGGCATATTCTTATCTCAAAAATCCTTTCGGGCTCCACCCCAGTGGCTCTGTAGTTCCCCATGTTAACCTTATGAATATTCATATTTAAAGGGAATTTAGTCAGCTGTTTCAAATAAAAAGGTTTGTTCTATGATATGCAGAAGCATTAAAAATTTATAAGATTTACCAACAGGGAGCAGCACTATTTTTTTGCATTTATGAAAAAATCTAATACAATTTGAACTAAGCAGAAACAAAAAACTGTGATGCGCAATGAGAACTGTCAAAGAAGAATTGATTACAGTTATGTTTATGTTTTTAATGTCATAAATAATTTGTGATATTTTGCTAATTTTTAATAATTTATTTTAAGTGGTAGAACATTATGGCTGTGGTAGATGTGTAATACTATAGTATACCTTAAATTTAGAGAAGCAACTGTTACCAAACTGCCATTGCAAACAGAAAGCTTATGAGTATAACTGCAATAAACTTTTTATACTTATATGCCAACCCCGTACGAAGGACGGGTACCCTGCTAGTAAGTAATAAATACATGTATTTTGATGCTATGTTACTTTCTGGCGTCTCGAACTTCGGTGCATGTTGGACGGGTATGATCCCCGGCATTAGAAACATTAGATTGAATAGGGGTGCTTATATGATCTATATGAAACTTTGTCGTCAACAATATTTACACTACAATGACATTTGGAACCTACATTCAAGATTGCGTAGATTATTTGCGAATTTAAACGTAATTGTAGATTGTTATTGCTTTAATCATGTCAAACTTCAGCCATGTAGCCATGTTCTCACCACCTCTTTATCGAAGATCTACCATAGATTTATACGCATTCCAGCTCTAACCGATCTATCAGACCTGACTGTTGTTAGTTGTTGCCCCAGCTTTGTTCTGGGGCAGAAAAAATCCAACAGGTGTCCTTTTTTTGTCAGGGGGGTTGTGATAGAGGGAACCTTATCTATTGTCACCCCATCGTAGTCATCTTGCGGCTATCTTAGATGTGAAATGTTCAACTACTAGATATTTTGTGAGTTTACAACGTATTGACTTAATTTAACTTATCAAAATGTTTTTGTGCATTTTCTTTCGGGTAATCCCTACCCTGTATTGTATATACATTATCTCATTCTTCACGACATCGTCATAGTATATGTAATCAAAGAGTAAGTTCTATTAAAAATTGCAATTAATCTAGATGAAAATGTATTACAACCTAATATTTATGTTTTTACAAAAAAAAACGCGTACCATTCACTTTGAATAAGTGCTCGAGCAACTTTTCTTTTTGTAGATAAATATGAAAACTATAATATGGAGACAAATATGGATTGTAGATAAATATTGAGACCATTCTATATTTATTTAATTTAAAGACCCACTTTTGTCCCCTTTTTTCTATATGAAGACATAGGACAAAGCCCTATGTACAAATAAACAAACCTCAATTAATAATCCTATTGTAATGTTGGATAATTAGTTTTAGATTATCTTTGAGAACATTTCAGCTAAATTGGTGAAGTGGCTTTTGTGTGTGTTCGCTGGATGTTACCTCATTTGTTTGAAATACAGTATTATTGAGAGTCATTCTGGTTGTCTCATTCTATAGCGCTAAGTCCCACGGAGCTTCCCTTAACACATTCACTTCGTCTTCGCTTCACACAAACCGTTATTCTACGACTGATGATAATCAGAAAATCGACACTAAAACCAAAACCTTCCTAGACCAGCCGCGGGGGACCCTACTTTCTAGTGACACACTTCACCTTCCAATTGTTCAAATTTCAAATTACCTATGTAATGGGTGTATTACTTGTTTTCGAATCATCATCAATATTTTACCCAAGATAGTTTATTGTTACGTCGAGATCTTTACGTTTTCAAGATGTGCTAGGTTAAAAATCGTGGTTAATTTTGATTATTACTGTCAAATAAATAACGATTTTGCTTGTCCACCTTTCTATCCTGCAAAAAGGACTAAATTAGGCTATATTTCACACAATGATAGCTATTCTAAATAGTGTCATAAGCTTATTGTCGTACCCATTTTAACTCAGGGTTGGGGCTTTAGGAAGTAAAAACATATTCGTCTCCATGAACACGAAAACAATAAAAAAAATTGTTTGTTTTAGTCCCACCTTTACGTTCTATTAGCAGTACGCTCTAGCTAGTCCTTGGACAGTTTTACACATTTCTGATTAGCGGG